GGCGCTGCACAAGAAGCTGAGACGGCAAGGCCCGCCGTGGCAGTGCCCGCTGCGAGACGGCCCTGCTCCCTTGCCTGGGGCAGGTCCAGCGCATCGAACAGAAACTTGCTGCGGGGCACGGGAGCGCCGCCCGCCAGGCCGCGCGCAAAGTCCACCAGCGCCTGCGCCTCGCTGGCGTTGTCGCCCTTGGTCGTGTACTGCGGCAGCCGAGGAGGGCAGCCGGGGTGGGTGAGGGAAGCTGCGGGATGGCCGTGCCGCACTGGTGGCCGGCGGCGGCCCCCTCCAATCGGCAGTGCTGGCGCCCAACACCGGCAGGGGACTTGCCTGCTGCCAGTAGAAAGGGACGTCGCTGGGCTTCAGGTCCCAGCGCAGGTTGCTGAACTCGCCGCTGGTGCTCTTCCACAGCGGCCCCGCCGCCGGCTCCACCGGGTATCCCCAGCGCTGCGCACACGGCGTGGACTGACGGGCCCCGGTGAGGAAGCAGCAGCCGGGGAGGCGCCAGGAGCGGCAGCGGCAGCAGCGGCAGGCGCTTCCATGTTCTTGCCGCTGTGCCTGACCTTCAGGGTGTCCTCGTCCAGCTGCTCCACGTAGGCGTACTTTCCAAAGTACTGCCCGTTGAGGCGGGCGTGCAGGTGGAAGGAGACCAGCGACGTGACGCCCATCTGCAAGACACCAGCGCCCCACGGGAGGTGAGAGGGCACCCGTGGCGACAGCGGCATGAGGCGGGGAGCCAGCCCCAGGGCCGCACACTCTGAGCTCCGTGCCCGCTCGCCTGCTTGAACACCTGCCAGGCCAGCGGCTCCCGCATGAATGTGTTCTCCCCAGGCTCAGACCACTCTGCGCACACACGTGTGTTACTTTCAACTCCAAAGCGGTGTCGGTGCGTATGCCGACACGGTGAGAAGGGCAGATGTGCGGCGCAGCCAGCCCCCCCCAAGCACCCACCGCTGTTCAGGTTCATCTCGCTCACGGTCATGCCGGGCCTGATCCTGAAGATCTGCGGGGGCAGCAAGGAGGACGGCGGCAGAGTGGTGGGCCCAACGCCGCGGGGGCCAGCAGCGGGCCACTGGTTGCTGCATGCTCGGCGCTGCCTGCTGCGCCCAGCACAACTCACCGAGCCCTGCTTGCTGTCCACCTTGATCTTGGGCTTGGGCCAGTTGAGAGAGGTGACCCCGCGCCGCCCAATGGCCAGGTTGTCGTAGAAGGAGCCGTTGAGCCAGGCGGAGCAGCCGCGCACCTGCGCCGTGCCGTGCCAGGCAGTACGCAGTCAGTACCCTCAGGCACAGTGAGCCACCCGGCGGCAGCAACCGTTTGCCAGGACCTGGGAATAGTGGAAGCTGCCAGCTCACCTTGTCCTTGGAGAAGGGCGCCTTGTCGTCTTTGCAGTACCTGCGCAGCAAGGCAGCACCCAGCAGGGACCCCTTTTGGCCATGTGCCTGCCCATGGCGAGACCAGGCAAGGCGGCATGCACCCAACAGCAGCTGTCCAACAAGCAGCCCCACCGCCAGGCAAGCAGCCATCAAGCCACGGCGCCAGCAGCGGTCTCGCCACCCCGCCTCAGCCTCACAGCTCCAGCACGGGCAGGCTGCTCTGGTCTGCGGGGTCCCCCACAACGGTGCCCCAGTACTGGCGGTCGTCTGGCCCCAGGAAGAGCGGGTCGCGGGTGAGGCCGCCCTGCGAGTCGCTGGCGCGGATGTACCAGCGCACCAGCGCCCCGCTGGTGGCGGCGGAGGCGGGGATGGAGGCGGCGTAGGCGTCTCCAGAGGCTGCAGGGGGCGGCCCAGGGAGGTCCAGGGCCAGCATGAAGGCGGGAGTCGGCGGCAGGCGGCATGAGGCGGCCACTGGAGTGCCACACCAGCTGCCCGCCAGCCTCTGACCTGGACGCCCGCCATGACGCCCCCTGGTGCCTGCATCCCAGCCCGCCACCCACCTGCCATAGGCAGCGCCACTTCGGCCCCGTACCCCACCACATACACCAGGTCAACAGAGTCGATCGGGAACTGCTGCGGCGTGACGGTGGCGGTGACGGGGATGTCGGCGCCGCCGGTGGGGCGCGGGTCGGCGGTGCGGGTGGCCCTGCACCAGCGCATGGCTCGGAGGCACCAGGGCGAGCCTCGGCAGTGGGAGGCGCATGCAGGGCAGCAAGGGGACGGGCCCGGGGAGCTGCTTTGCTCACACCCTGCCCAGCTGCCGGCTCGCACCCGATGATGAGCGGGCCGCCGGGGCGGGGGCCGGTGTTGTCCTTGCCGGGTGTGGCCGCCGCCAGCAGCGCGTAGCGCGCCCCGCGCTGCTCCGCCGCAAACACCACGCCCGTGCTGCCCACGCGGCCAAAGGACACGTCGGTGGGAAGCCTGCGGAGGGGAGGAGGGGGCGGCCGGGAGGGCAGAGCGGCAGCGGAGGGCCAGCAGCAGGCAGGGCGGAGCTCAGCCGCGTTGTCAACGGCAGGCGAGGGTGGAGCTCATCCGCGCGGTCGATGACCCAGAGGCAGCGGGAGCGCGTTCCGAGCGGTCGCCACAGGGGGGGCCGGCTCACTCTGGGAACTGCACCGCGCAGGTCACCGAGCCGCCCTTGTCCAGCAGCGCCAGGTAGCCGTCCTCAGCAGACAGCCTGAAGTCGGTGTGCAGGGGGGCAGCGGGGCTGGTGCGGTCCTTGCCGCTGGCAAACACCAGCAGGAACTGGCCGGCGGCCAGGCTGACGCCGGGTGGGAAGGCCCAGCCGCCGCTGCCGTCTCGCCGGTCGGTCAGCTTGTAGCCCTGCATGCAGGGAGCAGGAAAAATGGGGACGCAGGAGCATGAGCGGGCAGGCGGCTGGCACACAAGGCTATGCTTCTTGCTTGCCCGCATTTCGGCCCAACCAACAGCGCGCGCACCCCCAGGCTGACGGTGTCGGTGCCGGTGTTGTGCAGCTCCACCCAGTCGCTGCTGCTGCCGTCCTCGTCCTTCAGCGCCTGCTTGTTGGCCGTCATCAGCTCAGAGATGACGACCTGGCAGGGAGGCGAGTGGCAAGGGGGGGAGCGGCAGGGAGGCGAGCGGGCTGCCTAAACTCCCGTGTCGTGCCGACGACGAGCAGCTGCAGTGTGCCATGCACTGAAGGCCAGGAACGACATACAAGGCCTCGTCCAATGCACCAGGCTGCTGGAAGTGCTCCGCCTTGGAGAGGCAGCCCAAAGCGCACCTCGCCGGTGCAGCCGCCGCCTCCGTCGGCCCCGCCAGCTTCATCCCCTGCAGCTCAACCACGGGCCTGCTCCAGTCGAGATATGTGTGCCTCGCAAGAGAGGCAAGCAGCGCCACAGCCCGACTTGCAGCAACCCCAGCGTGTGGCCCTCACCCTGTGCTGCGGCTTGGAGCGTGCTGGTGAGCAGCAGCAGCGCGCCCAGCCCCAGGAGCAGGGCACCCCTGCGCTGCCCAGGCATCGCTGGCGAAGCGTGTGCGTGAAGAGCGCGTTCGTGAGACCCACTGCTCTCCGAGGTGCTCTGATCTTGCTGGAGGGGTGGTTCTTTGCTCAGAAGAACAGGAAAATACAGCAGTGATTCGAGCCTTTCCAATTGCGCCGCCATGCAACCTTGGACCGCCCAAGAAGCTGCTGTGATCTCAGAACTATACAGAACACAGGGACAGCACATTGGGACCCTGTGTGTGTGCTGCACATCAAAGCACGCCAGAGGTGCTGCCATTGGTGCCGCGTGCAACATCCGCCCGCGACCCCAGTTCGCCGCCATCGCCATTTGGCGGTGCAGGCGCTGCCGCCACCAGCTCGACGCTCGCCCCACGTTCGCCGTCGCCGCCAACTGGTGGCGCAGGTGATGCAGCCACCAGCTCGACGCTCTCGCCCGCTGCCAGCAGAGCAGCAGCTTCAACTGCCGCCGCCTGCTGCGCGGCACGCCGCCGATCGCGGAGATAGGTGAGATGCAAGCCGCTGTAGAAAACGGCACAGAGCGCCCATGGCACAGTGGTGAAGACCAGCAGCGCCGATGATAGGCTTTCTGACTTTGCCGTATTGACTAGGGCGTCGGGCCCCACCTCAGCCGCGCCACTGAAGCCATAAGCAGCCTGGGACAGCCAGCCAACAAGCGCGGCGCCCAGCGCCTGCAGGGTGTGAAATCAAGTAGCGTCATCCATCGTGCACAGCAACGTCGCAACCTGGTGCAGTAAAGCACCGGCACAGCAGGTGCACACTCTCACCGCGATGGCTCCCTCAAAGCTGCGATCAAACGCATAAATCAAGTTCCGCATGTGTGGTGGCACTATCTCTGCAGAGGGAGCGCTGGCGAAGGGGCACTCCTGGGTATAGGGCCCCGTGCAAGGAGCAGCCCAGCAGTCTGGTGCCCAGCATGGCACGCCCCCTGCCTCGCCTGCAAAGATGGGGTTGTTGCAAGCGGGTGCTGGCCAGGAGATGGCGAGGCCCATCACTCCAAGCACCACGGCGTGCATCGCAACCGCGCCTGGGCTGGAACTCAGCGGCAGGCCCTGCAAGCAGCACAGCGCAAGCGCTTCGCTGTGCTCAGCTGTTGCAGCAGCTGGAGCAGGGGGTGCTGCCTGGGCAGCTTGCCTTGAAAAGTACGAGAGAGAGCGGCACGCCGACGCCCACAGAAAACTGGCAGACGCAGATGCGCCCGTGGTTGGGCCAGCGCCGCGAAGCCCAGTCGCCCAGCATGCCACCAATCAGGCCGCCTGTAGACTTGATGAAGGGGAGGTCGGGGACACAGCACAGTTTCAGGTCATCTAAGTAGGTGGTGTGGTGTGGTGTGGGGTGGTGGCAGCCAAAACCAACCAACAGCGTTGGTGGCCAGGAAGATGGCCATCAGCAGCGAGGCCTGCACATCGCTCATGCCCATCAGCTGGAAACTGAAAGTGAGGTACACCAAGGCGACCCACGGCGCCGTGCCAACAATGCCCTGCATGCGGCAGGCAGGGAGGTCGCACAACAAGCAGTAGGCAAAGCTGGGCAAGGGAGCGGTGACAGCTGGCACAGCGTACATGGCAGGCCCGCCACAGAAAGGTGCCCGCCCCAGAAAGGTGCCAGCCAGCCACCTGCCTGTAGGATGATGATGAGAAAGGAAGGCACCCGCAGCACGCTGCCCACCTCCCGCAGAGTGGAGGAGGGCGCATGTGCCTGGGCAGCCGTGCCCACCCTGGAGCCTCATGGTAGCAGCCGCTCAAACGCAAGCAGCTTGGCAGCAGCCCACCCACATCCAACAGTGGCGTGTGCTCCAGCCGGCCTGCTCAGCCAGATCAAGATCTGCACAGCACGCACGTACGCCGGCCCAGCACACCCAAGGACGCGCTGCGTGCTGCCACACCTGTACTGGGGGTCCCGGCTCCTCCTGGGGTCCACCGCAAAGAAGAAGGTGCACGCGCCGACGCACCAGCTGGCCAGGGCCACAGACACAAACGCGAAGCGCCAGCCCTCAAAGCCCAGCGGGCGCACCCCGCCGATGTTGGTGGCAAACAGCGTGCTCAGCACCGCCCCGGCGGCGCCCGTGAAGTGAAGCGTTCCAAACGCGCGGCCGCGGTGCTGCGGATAATAGTCGGCAGTGATGCTTTGTGCTGCAGGGAGGAGCAGGGCGAGCCTGCGCAGTCGGCGGGCAAAACGGCCCGTCAGCATCAAGATTGAAACGCTGCGGGCAGGTGCAGGGCAGCAAGGCGCATGGCACCAACCCACCCGATGCCGTTGATTGCCCAGAAGGCCAGGCCCTGGCCCACAGAGCTGGCGGTGGCAAAGCCCAGGCACATGAGGCCCCAGAGAGCGGCACCGCAGCAGATGACATGCACTCGGTTGATGTGGTGGCCCAGCACCCCTGCAATGCACGCAGGCGACCAAGCAGTCAATGCTTGTCCTCAAGGAAACTTAGCGCGGTGGAAGGCAGGCCCCTGAGCCCACCCGCCAGGGGCGAGGCGAGCGCCTGGACCACTGCTCGAGAGAAGGTCAGCTGGCCGAGCTGCGAGGGACTCGCTGAGAAGGAGTGACCCACGAAGCGGAACAGGGAGGGCAGCAGCTGCTCATCCACGCGCTCGGCGATGCAGGCCAGGTTTATACAAAGTGCTGTGCGCGCCCTGTCGTCCCGCCACCACCCGGTGCGGCTGGCCCCCACGGCGCCCAAGCTGATGGCGATGGCAGGCCTGCTGAGTGCTGCCCCTGCCGGCTCTTGGACCGGAATGCTGTCCCTGGCCACGTCTAAGCCAGCAGGGTGCAGCGGCTGGAGGTCGTCTGTGCCTCGTGAGGCCATCCAGCAGCAGAGGGTTGGGCTGGTCCAAGAATGGCCCAGAGAGTGAGACTGCCTTGTTTGGCCAACCTTGGAACACATTGGGCATGGAGAGGCCACCTCCGGCGCAGCACAGCGCAGCGCAGCATACATGCCTTCTCGCTTCTGCCATGACGTTTACAGCATACAGCGGTGTGCAGAGCCCCTCATTGCGCGGCTGCCGGCTTGGACTTGCGCACCATGGTGGCCGGCCGGAACGCCTTGACCACCTCCTCGTGTGTCTCTATGTACGGCCCCTCCAGCAGGTTAATGCAGGCGGGGATGGACACAAAGACCTGCAGGCAGGCAGGCAGATACGCCGGCAGCGGGAACCCAGCGTGTAGGTCGAAGGGAAACTGGGCATGGCCCAGGCTGCTGGTGCCGCTTCGCATCCGCACCTCTGCACCATGTGCACCCGGCGCACCTCGTCTATCGTTTCCCGGATGCTCTTGGGCTTGCCGGGTAGGTTGAGGATGAGCGATTTGCCGCGCAGCCCCGCTGTCTGCCGCGACAGCACCGCAGTGGGCACATACCGTAGGCTGCGGTAGCATCGGAGCAAACAGCAGCAGCAGCAATGAATGGAACAGCTGTGACAGGGTGGGTCTGCTGTTTGCCGGAGCGCTGGGAGCTGGAGGGGCAGTGCGGCGGCGGGGGGCGCTGCACTATGCACGCATGCTGTGTCTTAGGCTCAGCTGTGTTCATGGGGAGCCTGACCCTGCCCACCTGATGGCACGCATCTGCTCGCCATACCCAGGCATCATGCGCTCACACACCTGCGCCGTGCACAGGGTGCCACATGATGGGGGCATGCACGGCGGCTGAATCGCCACACAGCCGAGCAGCCTTTGGTGACGAATGCGCAGTCGGATCCGCCCTGGCTGTCAAGCAGGGGCGCCTCACCGCCTCGGTGGCCTCGGGCGTCACATCCCGCGGCGCCGGCCCGGTGCCGCCGGTCGTCACCACCAGGCAGCAGCCCTCCTTGTCGCACAGCTCTTTCAGCGTCTCCTCAATCAGTGGCCGCTCGTCGGGGATGACGCGGTACACAACCTGCCACCTGCGCAGGCTTCGATGGCGAGGAGATGAGCAACTGGTGGCGCTGCTGGCAGGCGGTGGCGGCGGGGTGGCGGGTGGCACCTGGACTTGATGGCCTCGTGGAAGAACTGCAGGATTGCTGGTCCGCTGAGATCGTCATAGATCCCTGTGCTGGCCCGGTCGGACACCGTGACGATGCCAAACTTGGCGAAGTCGCCCACCGACTCGGCGCTGCCGCCCTCTAACACAAGGGGCTGCTGGCCGCTCATGGCCGCAATGGTCACTAAGTTGTGGGGAAAACAGCAATCTACAGTCTGTTGAACAGATGTGCCGACGCGCACGCTTGGCGCCAGCTGCGCTTGGTGCCGCAAACTAGTAATTAGATGATGAACTAATTTAGTTTACATTGGAGGAGTGTCAAGCCAACATGCACCTGAGGCGATGACAGGAGAGAGGGGTACATGCCGCAGGCCTCCAGTCTGCAACCTCATGCCCGCACTTGCCGCACCGGCGGTGGCAGCTCTCCCGCCGCCACCGGCACCTCATCCCCGGGGATGAAGCTGCGCTTGATGCCGTCCTTGCTGATGACCACAGTGCGGATGCAGCCGCCGCTGGAGCCATCTCGGGCCATGGCGTGCGACACTGCCTTGACCACAAACGCCTTGCACTCCTCCTCGCTCATGTTGGGCTGCACGGGTGGGCGGGCAGCAGAGGCGAGAGCAGCGGGCTTGGCAGAGGTGTCAAGGAAAGCAGGCAGCGGGGGCGTCTGGAGCAGCAAAAGCAAGCTGCAGGAGGTGTAAAATCCAAGGCCAAGCTGAAACCCAGCCGTCGCAAAAGGGCTGCCAGTGTGCACCAGAACAGGAGCCACGCACCCGCCACAGCCTGTCGCAGAGGCCATTGATGTATGCCGACCCCGAGCCGCCGATGGAAAAGGGCACCTTGACCAGGGTGCCCCCAAGCGGGATGGCAAACACGCTGCCGCCGTGGTGCTTGTCCCACCCCGCCACAATCAGGCCCGCCTGCGCAGCAGGTGGGGGGCGGGGCAGCTTTGGAGGGGCTGGATGGCAGCGGGGACCGCGTGTGATCAAGCGCCTTGCCTCAGACACCTGCGCTTGCCACGCGACGCCTGGTGGCAGCTTGCTGTGCCTCTCCCACCAGCCGCTCCTCATCTCTGCCGAAACCCGGGCCTGACCACAGCTCCACCGCTGCGCCCGGCACTGCCACCAACCCTCCACTTGCCTGCAGGAGATTTTTGTTCTGGTACGCCATCGTCTGCGCCAGCTTGGCTGCCGTCTTCACCTCAGGGTCGTCCCCCAGCTCCATGCCGTGCTGCTCCAGAAACCACTGCAGGGCAGGGCGCCCGGGGCGCAGGAGACGATCGCAGGCTGCTGCTGCAACTTGCACAACGGCAGCAGGCTGGCCTTGGGTTGGGGACGGCTCCTGTCAAGCTGCGCGCCCCTGCCAGCGACCCACAGGCACCCCACCTGCACGTATCGCGACAGGTTTTGCGTGTCTGCTGCGGAGCCGGAGCGGCAGATGTACACGCGATCGGTCAGCGGTGTAATCTTGTCCGTCACGCGGTTGGCCACGTCTGCGCGCAGAGGGCGGCAGCACACAGGCAATGGTGAGGGAACTGCCAGGTGCCATGGCTCGCCTTCGGCTTTTGGCAGCACAGTGGTGCCTGCACGATCGTGGCAAACGTGGGCGGGCGGGCGGCAGGCGGGCGCGGCCACACACATGAGCCCGTGGACGTCCTGGAATCCGCGCCCATCACCACTCCGCCATCATAGCTGGCTGCCATGATCGTGGTGCCCATGGACACGGGCAGAGACAGGTCCTGCATAGCGCCGTCCATTTGCGAGCCTGATCGGCGAGGGCCGGGTGCTGTGCTGCTGGCTGGCTGACGCACTATGGCCGGTGGTATAGGATGGCAGCAAGGGTGGCGAGGCGATCACTCGGGGGAGGGCCCGCACAGTGTGAACTGTTTGGGCGGACGGCGCTGGGTGGAGTACAAATCAAAGTGCCCGCCCAGAAGGCGAAATTGCCTAGGCTTCTCCCTTCTGTGCATCCCGGCGGCCAGCTCAGCTCCACTCACCCAAAAGCAAAAGATGCCCTGAGGGCGAGCTCTCACAGAGAGCTCACATTGCGATCTTCGTCTCCTGTGCCTGTGTCCTGTGCTGTCAGAGCGTTGAGGCGGCAGCCTGTCATCACCTCTCCGGCACACCATCCCCTCCCAAAGCGCCAGCGGCAGCCTGGGTATCGCGCCTGGGCATTGCCATCGTATTGAAAGCCAGGCGGGCGGCTGTGGGGCGTTGCAGTCGAATCAGGTGTGATGGCGGGAAACTTGAGCACCCCAGGCAAACGCACCGGCCGTCCGCGCCAGGCTGCCGCATTTCAAAGCTGCGGCCTGTTGCCCGCCCCGCCGCCCACCTCAGGTTGGGGCCACCCCCTGGAAGAAGTGCCCCTTGTGCATTGGCTGGAACCCTGTTGAACGAGCGCCCTCTGTGGCCGGTGGCGCCCGCAGCATCTCACCATGTTTGGCTGGAAGCGACAGAGGAAGGACGAGGAGACGGCGGCTGCTGCGGCGGCGGCGTGCCCGCCCTTGGGGACCTCGCCTGCGGCAGTAGTGAGCGCAGCGCCCGCCAGCGCAGCCAGCAGCGTGTGCAGCGACCTGGATGATGCCCTGGCAGTGGGCACCCCCAGCAGCAGCGGCCCCTGCCTCCTTTCCGCCAGCAGCATCGAGCTGGCGACGACAGGCCGGCAGGCGCTGGAGCACGGCAGCGTGCGGTCTAAAGCGGCCTACTTTGAAGCCCTCTGTCATGCCAACACCACCATGCACATCCAGTGCTCCTCCGAGGATGGCGCGCAGCAGTGCGGGCGGCCGAGCCGGGAGCCGCGCATAAGTCGGCAGCTGCAACACGGCGCCTTCCCCGACGCCGACATGGCGCACGCAGACAGCGACGAGGAGGCGGCCGGCGAGTGGCAGGACTTCTCAGAGGTCCATCTGCTGCTGCGCATGCCCCGCAGCCACGCGGCGCGCGAGCAGCCCACACCCAGCAGCAGCAGCAAGTATGGGAGCATAGCGGAGATGGAGGACCTCATTGAGCGGCTGCAGGAGGCGCTGGAGCTCAAGGAGGGGCAGCACAAGGCGGCGGTGGATGCCTTCAGGCGGCGGGTGAGCAGGCAGCCAGTGGGCACGGGGCACCGGCCGCCAGTGCTGCCTGCTTTCTGGCTAATGCACGGCAGGATGCAGCATGCTCCAAGCAATGACCTGGCCACCTCCCTGGCTCCCTGCCTGCCCACGCCGCTGCTGATTGGCCATTCCTGCGTGCGCCCACCCGCCCTGCTCCCACCCCTGTGCTGCTGCTGCCGTGCAGTCGGCGGAGTGCGAGAACTTGCAGACGGTGGTGCGTGAGCTGAGCGAGAGCCGGTCCAAGGCGGCGTGCCAGCGAGCCGTGCTGGCGGAAAAGTATGGGGAGCTGCAGAGCGAGTACCACCGCATGCTGCGCATTGCAGACCTCTCGCGCACAGTCAGGTGGGTGGGCGCGTGGGCAGGGCACATTGTGCACCGGGGCAGGGCTGGGGAGGGCTTACTTGGGGGGGGAGGGGCATCCGGTTCAGGCCCAGGCTTGAAGCGGCTGGCTCTTGTTCCCTACCAGCTTTCCGTCTTGCTTGTCATCCTCTCTTTCCCAGCCTCCCTGATATCCGCTCTGGCGTGTCCCGCCCCCCGCTTTCCCCCGCCTGCAGCAAGGAGAACCTGGCGACCACGAGCCGCACCCGCAGCGAACTTCGGCGCGTGCAGTCGGAGCTGCATGCCACCAAGAACCATGCGCTGAGCCTGAATGAGAAGCACAAGAAAGTGCGTGTGGAGAATGCGCTGCTCAAGGTGAGGAGAGGCTGTGCGGTGCCGGCAGCCTGCCTTGATGCTTTGGGGGCCGTGGCGCCACCACGCTGCTCTTTTGCCCAGTCTCTACACTCTCGTGTTCTGGTGTTTGAGCGCAGGAGAAAGTCGGACTCTTGGAGCGGTGTGACTTTGCGGAGACACAGGAGAGCGAATGCAAGAAGCACTTCACTCGCTACCGTTTGGCAGAAACCTACTGAGCGCGCCAAGGCATAGCCATGTGCACATTCCACCAAACCGCCCATCAATCCCTTCAGCGCCCTCCGCTGCGCACGTAACCAAGCGCTTGACAGCAAAAGTAAAAGTTTTCAGCTCCTGCACTCAATCAGTTCAGCGCCTTTTGTAGTTTCCCCCGTGCCGAGCTCGTCTTGATGGCCTTCCTGTACCCGCGCCGTGTTTGGCTTCCGACAGCGTTTCTTAGAGAGACTGTGAGCCCACACCGCACCCCAGCGTGCACGCGTGTAGATAGTCCTCCGTTTCTCATTGAAGCCGTTTGTATCTGCTTAATCTCTTCCAGCGAACACCATTTTTCAGGCTACTGCACTGCGCGGCCGTCGTTTAAAACGCTGTGCAGTACAAGCACTACAGTTGGCAGTTCACACTCGCACTGATCTTTGTTGGAGCCACCGAGATGCTGATTGCTGCACCGGAATTTGCTGGATGTGGGCCTCCGGGGCTTGCATGTGAAGGCATTAGTGGACAGCTTCTTGGACTGGGCAACCTCGCCTGCATCAACTCCTTGATGCCTTGTGCATCTCAGTTCACCTCTGTGTGCTGCTGCCTCTTTGCCTAGGTGTGTTGCTTAACAGAGCAGACTCCACGAGCAGTGGTGGCACGAACCACTGTTAGGCAGCAGCAGCACAGGCTGCCACCAATGGCAGGCAGCATACCACGGGCAGTGACATGCCCCGCATTCTACCCCCCAGGGGGCAGCAGCCCGCGCGGCCTGCCGACCTGGCGGAGAGCGCCGTCGCCGCCCAGCGCCGCGCTGCCGAGCGGCGTCAGCAGTCGCGCCATACTGGCGGCTACCCTGGCGCTGTACACCGTTGTGTTGCTGGGCCTGCCACTGCTCTACAGCAGCTCCAGCAGGTGGCACAGCGCAGGCGGCTCCCTTGCAGCAGCAGGCGCGAGCGACTTGCCCGGCGTGCTGCAGCCGCAGCTGGCCAGGGCGCTGAGCAGCAGGCGCCTGGCACTGGAGGCGGGGCAGGGGGCAGCGGCGGAGCTGTGGCCAGACGCCGCTGGCTTTGGCACCGCGGCGGCGCAGCAGCCGCGGGTGGAGTACCGGGATGCGGGCAACGTGGTTTCGCTGGTGGACGCGCTCAACATCTCTCAGTGGCCCAACGAGCTGCCGCTGTACCTCGCAAGTGAGAGCCGCCAGGGGGTGGCGCCGGGCGACTGCTGCGTTGCCGCAGCAGCGGCTGGTGTGGCCGCGCGCTGCGACTGGGCCGGTGCCCAGCAGCACCTGCATTGTGTGTCACCTCCTTTGAGCCAACGCGCTTCCCTCCCCTGGTGGCGCCCTGCTGCAGGCCCCGTGCCCATCGCGGTGGTGCCCCTGACGCAGCAGGCGTCGCGCGCCAGCGGCGGCGGCGGCAGCAGCGAGGAGCAGCAGCTGGCTGGTGGCGGCGGTGTGGCGCCGCCCTTCCCTGCCCTGTGCCCGCAGGGCGACATCCGCCTATTCATCGGCGTGACGTCGCGGTGCTGCACAGCAGAGGTGCGCGCAGGGCGCAGCACTGGGCAGAGGAGAGCCTGGGACTCAGGAGCGCTCACCAGGAGATGCTGGTGGCTGGTGACCATCGCACCCACCCACCTTCACATGCTGTATGTGCCCCGCAGGCCCAGGCCAAGCGGGCCGCCATCCGCCGCACGTGGGTGCGGTATGCACGGGAGCACCACCCCAACATAGGCGTGCGCTTCGTGCTGGCCCAGGTGTGTGGCGGCGGTGTGGGCTGCCGCTGTGGCGGGTTGGTGCTCACATGCATGGCGCGCTGTGCAGGGGTGCCCGCTCACCTTCCCTGTCCTTTCCGCCACCACCTGACTGCTGCCTGCAGCCCTCCACAGAGGCCGACCTCCGCACCGCCCTGGAGCTGCTGAAGGGCGAGATTGCGCAGCACGCGGACCTCATCATCGTGCCTGGTGAGAGCACAGCAGTGGGAGCACAGCACGCGCTGGCCGGGATGCGCAGGACAAACCCCAAGTCACCCGCTTTGATGTTGCAGCAAGCAAGGCAGATGGCACTCTGCGGCTGGCCCTCTGACACTCTGCCGCTAATGCCTGACCCATCGGCTGTTCCTGCTGCCCTGTGCAGGCCAGGACCTGTACCGCACGCTGCCGGGCAAGACGCTGCAGCTGCTCAAGTATGCGCTGTCCTCTGAGTGCCGCTACACGCACATCCTCAAGACCGATGACGACGTGTTCCTGCGGCCACAGGCGAGCCGGGGCGCTGCCCCCTGCCGGCTGAGTTCCGCTGCAGCACCTCGTTGCCCTCTCCCACCTGCTGACTGTGGTGTCCCACCTGCCTGCTCCCCCCTTGCTGCCCGCAGCTGCTGCTGGACATCATCCAGCAGGGCAGCTACAACTACAGCGTGGAGGTGCAGTACGACGGGTCGGGTGCGTACCGCAGGTGGCGCGCGTGTGGCTTTCCTGCCGCTGCCTACCAGAGAGCATCACGTCTGGCCGGCTGGCATGACTTTGCTCCAGTGGATGAAGCAATGACTTGGCTGCGCATATATACTGCCCCCCCTCCACCCCCACCCACCCCACCCCCCCCGCGCACACAGGCGTGTTTGACGGCAAGCCCGCCCCCTACTACCAGTCGCCCTGGATGAGCGGCATGTATGTGGGGCAGCTGGACAGCGAGCACGAGGGGCACGTCTTCCCCGGCTGGCACCCAAACAGGGACCCCACCAGCAAGTGGTGAGGCGCTGGCCGGTTGGGAGGGTGGGCAGGCCGTGAGCAGCTGAGAGCGTTTTCGATTCTGCTGCTTTTCATGCCGAGCACAGCGGGGGCTAGTCCTGCCCCCCCCGGAATCCATCTCATGGGTCTTTGGCTGTGGCTGGCGGCCTGCTCGCGCAGGTTTCTGCCGGAGGAGGACCTTCCCGACGAGCTGGCGCCGCTAGGCGTGCGCTGGGCCAGGTGGGGCACAGCGCATGCGCACACCACCACCCCGGGCATACATACACCCACTGGCGCGCTCCCTCGCTGACAAGTGGCACGGTCCCCAGCCCGTACCGACCCTGCCCTGCCCTGCCCTGCCTGCCTGCCCTGCCCTGCCCTGCCTGCCCCGCAGCGGCTGGGGCTACATGCTGTCGCGGGACCTGGCTGAATTCATCGCCACCACGGCGCTCATGTATGCCGCCATACCCGAGAGGTGAGGACCCTGGGGCTGGCCGGGGGTGGCCGCGGCGGCAGCGGGCGCTCTGTGTGCACCCAGCCCGAGCTGTGGCTGACCTGCCGTCAGCGTGCCTGTGCTGCTCCCGGGTGCAGGAAGCCGCTGTGGTGGGGCCGCATGCCCTGGGAGGACATCATGGTGAGACAACTGCCGCCAGGCCGCCTGCCTCGCCTGCTCAGGCCCTTCCGCCTCTGGCTTGGGTCTCACTGTGGATGGCGGCTTTGCACCCCTGTCCTGCTGTGCAGGTGGGCACGATGCTGAAGGGCGTGGCGCGCGTGCACCACCACGACGGCTTCAAGGCCGCCTGGCAGGAGTGCGGGCCGCAGGTCGTGCTCAAGCATCTGGACTGCGACGCACCGGCGCTGCAGGTGAGGCAATAGCAGAGGGAGGTGCCGCCTGAAAGGCTCGTGCTCGAGGGAAGAGCAGGACAAAGCATGAGTGCCCTACTTCTTGGATTTGCAGGACGGGCTGTACGCTCAAGAGATCAGCGGGCTGTGGTCGAAGAAGAGTGTGGTGTGCAGCTCAGGTGGGTGGGTGGGTGGGTGGGGGCAGAGCGCGTGGCATGGCTGGCAGCTGCCAGCGTGCTGCTGCCGCAAATGCTTGAGCTGGCCCGCCCCGCCACCCCTCCTGCCGCAGGCATCTTCCAGCTGAACAACCACAGCGACTGGCGCGTCTGGCGCAACTCGCTGCCAGGTAACGCTGCCAGGTGGCCTTCCAGGCTGGGTGCCTCCGCAGTGCTTGCCTTGCAGCCCCGCTGCCTCCTTGTCCTGGCGCCCAGCTGCACCACATATGCATGCCCGGCCTGGCTGAAGCCGCCTGCCGCTGCTCAGCGCCTGCCCGCCTACCTGCCTGCTTGCCTGCCTGCCCTGTCGGATGCAGATAATCAGCTGGGAGGGTATATGTGATCTGACGGCCGACTCCAGACGGCCAAACCTTGCACAAGACTGCCGTTCCAGGAGCTGGCTTTGCTTCTGAGCAGCACTTGCAGAGACTCCAGCAATTGATACTCCACGATTCATCCCACAAACTCAGTTCTCCACGCCACTGCTCCAGAACACACCTGCCGCCTGCCGGCGCCGTTGTTGAATGTTGGATGCCCGCCACGGATGTGTGGCCGTTATGAACTGTTCTGTTGGTTCTGTTTGTGTCTGTTGCCAGCATTATCTCTTTCTGTCCGTGTCGATTCTTTCCATGCCTCTTTTCGCGTTGATTTTCACTGATGGATGAGCTGCCGTTTCCGCCTAGTCTTGTGTGTTGGTGACTGGCCGATGCCTGTGGACGTTGTGTGATTCACTTGTGACATCATTCCTGTAGGCTTACTAAGGCTTAGCGAAGCCTATCATCGTCCACAATAGTCAGATTCTGGTCGCGATGCATGAGCTTAGGGCTGCCCGGCTGTGCCTCCTTGCCGCGTGGGGATGCGGCTGCAATCTCTTGCCCTGACAGGCCAGTTTCATCTGCAGCGCCGTAGTGCTGCTCCAGGTAGCGCGCCTTTGGAGAAGAAACATCTCCCTCGGGCACCCCCCGGCCAGCGGTAGCGCCTGTGCCCGCTCGCGCGCCTGTATCGTCCGCGCTCTGGCGCTCAATGCCCCCATAGGCACCGGGCCCGCTCACTGCACGCACCGCCCAGTTGCATGATCACAGCGGCGCCCAAGATTCAGTTTCTGGGCGGTGTGACAGGTCCTTGGCAGGGGCGGGGAGGGGCTCACCGCTGCCGCCGCCGCCGCCGTCAGGTCCCCACTGGCCGGCCAGCGGCCACCCTGCCTTGTTGGCGCTCATCAGGCACAATCACGCAAAGTTATCCTGAACAGTAGTCTATGGGCGTCAAACGATGAGGTCATGCTGCCTGCTGGGGCCAGCAAAGCAGAAGTTTCTGCCGCCCCTACTCTCCCCAGCCCCTACCTCCCCATCCGATCGCCGTCAGTTCATCCTGGCGGCAGCACGCCTCGCCCACCTGGCTGTCTTGCCCTCCCCACTGCGCCGCTGGGGCGTAAAAATGGCTGCCGCAACAACTGCACAGGCCGCCCACGACGCCCCGTTGCCCTGGTGAGATTCCCACGGGCTGGCGCAGGCAGAAGTGGCGGCGCGGCGGCACTGGCGGCGGCGGGGCGTCCCCATGGCGGACAGGCAGAACCCGGCTGTCGCGCCTCTCCCCGCTCTTGCAGGTGGCAGCGTCTGCGCTGGCGGCAGACGTCGCACGCCGAGGGTGTGCATGTGGAGCGGCGCCTGCTGGACCTGCTGTCACACGGCGGCTATGAGCAGCACGACGTCAAGGTGGGAGGGCGGTGCCTGGCGGCGGCGCACCCGACAGGGCGGCGCGTTTCCTGCTGGTGCCGCGACGCGTGGATCTGCTTCCCGCACTGCAGGTGGGCCCCGGCAAGCAGGACTTCATCCACACCGTGACCGGGGGGCAGGCCAACACCGCCTCCCCCGCCTTTGTGGCGGTGCCTGGCTACGGCAGCGGCAGCTCCTTCCTCTTCAAGGCGAGTTGGCCGACAGGAGGGGTGGCAACACAAGGGGGTGTGGTGGGGTTGAACTGGGGGCAAGGCTAGGGCTATGCATCACTGCCTGCCTGCCTACACCACTCCCGCTTGGCACCCACGCTCGGCCTCTCGCCTCCCCCTCTCTGGGTGCAGCTGTTTGACGGCCTCAGCTCCAGCTTCCGCCTCTTTGCTGTGGACATGCTGGGCACAGGGCTGTCGGGTGCGTGGGTGTCGGCTGGGGGGCGGCTCCAGGGCGAGCTGCGCAGCCACCTGCCGCAGTCACCAGTGCCAGGGATCTGCTCCAGGCGGACACAATCCGCAGGCTTGCCAGCTGCCCGCCGCTGGGTCGCCGTGGCAGCGTGCGTGGCGCATGCTGGCAGCCGATCGCCGCCTGCACCTGCCTCCCCTCGGGTGCGCAGGGCGGCCGCCGTTCCGGGCGCGCAGCACCGCGGAGGCCGAGGCGTTTTTCGTGACGTCCCTGGATGCGTGGCGGAGGGAGCAGGGGCTGGACAAGATGGTGCTCATGGGGCACAGCATGGGAGGGTACCTGTCGGGTGGGTGGGCCGCGTGCCGGCAGGGGCTGCGCAGCGGCGCGGTGTTTGCTGGGGAGGGCTGCGTCAGACGGCAGGCTTCGGACGCAGGCGTGCGTGCTGGTCCTGCCGCCTGGCCTGCTGCCCCTGATCACCTGACACACGGCCGCTCCCGCCCGCCCCCCCCCTGCTGCAGCCTGCTACGCGATGAAGCACCCGGAGCACGTGCAGCACCTGATCCTTATGTGCCCAGCGGGGGTGGGCAGGAAGCCCGAGGACTGGCAGCCACCAGAGGTGCTCCGCAACCCGTGGACCGTGCGCGGCCAGCTGTTCAGGTGTGGGGCGCGCCGCCCTCGTGTTTGCTGTGCTGCCTGGTGCGCCAGGCGGGAGGTATGCGAGCGGGGGCGCAGGCCAAAGGGCAGGCGTGCCGGCAGGAGCGCCGCGCCTGGCCCGCTTTTCAGCTTGCTCGCTGCGCGCCGCCGGCCCCGCAGGTTTGCGACGCGCGTGTGGGACTGGGGCGTCACCCCCGGCTCCATCGTGCGCTGCATGGGCCCCTGGGGCCCGGGCATGGCCTCCAAGTACTGCCGCTCCCGCTTCACGCGCCAGCAGCAGCTGACCGAGGAGGAGGTTGCCGTGTTTGAGCAGGTGGGCAAGGGGGGGCCGGCGGCTGCGGCGCTGGCTTAGGCAGCCCGGTTGCTGGCGCCGGCAGTTTGGTGGGCTCTACGGCAGGCGGGGGCATTTTGGTGGGCTCTGCTACCCCCTCATGGCATGTTGCTGCCACGGCATGCGCATCTGAGCGCCGCCGCCTCGCCGCCACCCCCTCGCCTCCCGCGCGCCGCCACAGTACCACTACCACACCATCGCGGCCTCCGGCAGCGGCGAGTACGCGCTGCGCCACATCCTGCAGCCCTTTGCCTGGCCGCGGGCGCCGCTGGAAGACCGCATGCAGCAGCTGGATGTGCCCGTCACCTTCATCTAGTGAGCGCCCCGCGCCAGCTGCCTGCTGCAACCGCCTGCGCAGCAGCACATGGGTCCAGCAGGGGCTCACTGCTCACCCCTCTCGCCGCCCTGCGCCCGTGCTGACGCGTGTGCCTGCTCGCCTCCCCCATGCCACTCCGCAGCGGCGAGCACGACTGGATGGATGTCAAGGCGGCGCGGCGGCTGACGGCCGCCATGGCGCAGCACCGCGGCCCCAAGTTCCCCGCCGACATGCGGGTGCTGGTGACGCCCGACGCCGGCCACTACCCCGCCATCGACCAGCCCGGGTCGGTGCTGCGCCAGCTGGCGGAGACGTGCGACGCCTACCTGCCGCCCGCGGCCAAGGAGGCGCTGCTGGCGGCGGCGCGGCGCCAGCCCTTTCACGGCGCGGTCAAGACCGATGCCGCGGGGGCGGTGGAGGCCGAGATGGCCAGCAACCCGCTGGAGGCTGCGGCGCACGAGGCCTCGGAGCTGTGACCAGGCCCCCCCTGCCGCTCAACCGCTGTACCCTCTGCCTCGCTCCCCCTGCTGTGCTTATCTGTTGCATCCCCCACCCTCAGATCAGACCATCCCCTGACATTCAGGCACTGCCGTTACCCTGGCCCCCAGCTGTGCAATACAAGAATCGGCACCGATTAGCAGGCATGGCTCATCGCGGCAAAGTCGCATCACGGCAGTGACCATTTGCAGTGTTTGATGATCAGGCAAGTCTCTCTGATAGGCAGAACAGCTCCTGCCGGGGCTTCAGACCGCCAGGGAGAGCGAGATGCCGTCTTCGGAGGCAGTCAGCCTCACCGAAACGCCCTGCCCGCTCGCGGCGGCGGCACCCGCGCCTTCCACCTCCATCTGGCTGCCTGCCGCTGCGCCCCTGTCGCCCTCCTCCAGAGCGGCGAGGCCTGGCTCCAGAAACTCCGCCGCCTCTGTGTCTGGCAGCAGCTGCATCGCCTCTGTGTCCGGCAGGAGCGCCACCGCCTCTGCTGCTGCTGCCGCCGCCGCGGCAGCCAGGCTGGCGCCACCACCCGACTCTGGGCTGCTCAGCGGCTGCCTGTTGAACGCCGACTCCAGCGCCCGAGGCTGCACCGAGCTGCCCTCGCTGGCCGTCTCCTCGCCCTGCACATCAGGGAAAGCGCGCCGAGGCAGCACAGACTGGGCAGTCCCCCATGCACATGCACTGCAGCAGCGGCGTAGCAGGCGCCCGCCTGGTGATGTGGGCAGCATTCGCCCGCCCATCCCCACCCTCACCTCTGCCACAGACGGCTCCGCAGTCGGCGCCTCGCCCAGCTGGTGCTCGCCGCCCCCGCAGCTGGCCTCCTCCTGCTGCCCCTCAGCCATCTCGCTGTCCTCGCCGCCGCCAGTGGGGGCCTGCCCTGACGGGTCGGCCGGCAGCGCCAGGTGGTGGATGGCGGGGGGGCGGTACGCGCTCAGCTCGGCCCACAGCTCGTCCGCCTTGCTCTTCGCGGCGCAGAAGCTGAGGGCCTGCAGCGCACGGCAGCGACACAGGGCCGCCTGGCTGTGAGGTGGAGCAGCACCAGGCGGGCCTGGCAGCCCATGCCAGGCCGACAGCCCACCCCCAAGCCTGGGCAACACAGGCAGCAGTGCAGCTGCTCTCATGTGCAGGCAGGCATGGAGCAGGAGGGGCCCCCGTGCCTGCAGCGGGCTGTCCATGAATGCCAGGTGGGAGCGGTAGATGGTGAGGTCCACGCTGAGCCCGCTGAGCCGGCGCCGCATCGTATCCGCCTGCAGGCCCAACTGCACGTGGGCAGCAGCGGCGTGGAGCAGTCTTAAGTGCTGGCTCGCCCCCCACCCCCCCACACTCACAAACACAGACACACACCGCCTCACCTGCTCCAGGGCCATCACCTCCCTCTGCACCTCCTCAGCCATGGAAGCCGCCAGCTCAGCCGACTGCCGCACCCGCCCATCGTGCCCCTCCAGCACCGCCGCCGCCATGCCATCAAAGCTGAGGGCCAGGATGTCGTCGGCCAGCACAGCCGCCGCCTGCGCCGCCGCCTGCGCCGCCTGGACCTGCTGGGCGCTGGCAGCTGGGGCGGCGGGTGCCGGCTGGCTGGCCGGGGTGAAGGGGGCCGGGGTAGCGGCCTGCAGGCGGCGGCGGTACCGGCAGCAACCAGTGTCAGGATGTGGAGGCTTGGGCTGAGCTTGAGACGTCTGTTGAGCGGGAGCAGCCTTTCCAACCCCCCAGCTTGGCGAGGCAACGCCATGCCACTTGCCTTGGGAGCCACCGCCCTCAGGTGCTTGGCCAGGGCCAAGTCAGCGGGGGTGCCCGGGTGGCGGGAGACCTGCTGGCGCTGTGCCGCCGCGGGGGCCGCCTGGCGCAGCGTGGGCTGCAGCACAGCCAGCCCAGGCTGCTGGCGCTGTGGCGGCGGCAGGGAAAAGGCGCCGTCTGCCTGCGGGTTGAGCCGGGAGGTCGGCTTGGCGGCGGCGGCAGCCGGCTTGGGCGCGGGCATGCCCAGCAGCTGGAAGCCAGAGGCGGTGCTGGAGCTTGGCCCTGCTGGGCCCTGCTGGGCGCTGCTGCTGGCACCGCCGCCGCCCAGGATGCCCGCAAAGCTGGGAATGGAGAGGCCGGTGGCCGGCTTGTGGGCTGCCGCCGGCCTGGGCGCAGCCGCCTGCTTGGGCGGTGGAGTCGGCTTGGGCGCCGCCAGGGGCTTGGACCCATTGAGCATGGGTGCAGGCGATGCCGGCTTGGCTGCAGGCGCGGGCAGCTTGGGCACAGCCAGGGAAGGTGCGTGCTGGGTGCTGACGGCCTGCGCTGCGGGTGCAGGGCGGTTGGCCGGCCTTGTGGCGGGGATGGCAGCTGGCGGCTGGGTTAGCACGGCGTGTGCCTGTGCCTGGCAGGCAGGTGCGGCTGCACCCAGCTCCTCACAGCCTGGCCCCTGTCCATCCCTGAGCTCCTGCTGCTGCGCTGGCTCCGCTGCTGCCTCCGTCTCTGGCAGCGCCGCCGGCAGCACGGCTGCTGCTGTCACGCCGTCTGCCACGGCTTCCTGACCACCAGCACCAGGGCCATGGCTGCCGGAGCGCCGCTTGGAGGAGCTGTTGGGCGAGCTGACTGCACGTGGCGGGCAGGCACCAGGTGCCGCCTCATCCACCGCCGCCACGCCGTCGCCCAGCAGCGGCATGCTGGCAGGCAGGGCGGGCAGCTGGGCCGGCTGCTGGGCGATGATCTGGCCAATGGTGGGGGGTGCAGCCTCCTCCTCCTCCTCCTTGCGCTGGTCCTCAGAAAGAGATCCGCTGCAGCTGTCCTGTGCGCCATCACCTGCCGGGCCGGCGCACAGGGGTGCCTGCGTGCCAGGGAGCACCAGCAGCAGCAAGGTGGCTTCCTCAACCTGCCACACAGCCTGACCCTTGCGTGGTGGAAAGGATGAGCCCGAGCACCCTGGGAGCCCGCAGGGGCAGTGGCGCCCAGCACCCACCTGCTTGGTGGCGGTGGGCTGGCCAGGGTGCAGCGGTGGGCGCGGCGCCTTGGCCGCCACCTCCCTGCACTCAGCAGGAAGCCTTACATGATCTGCCCTCTGGACTCCAACACCGGCAGGCATAGAGTAGAGCAATTGAGCTGGGGATGGAGCGGCAGGCAAGCGCACCGGGCAGGCACCTCCTCTTCCGCCTCCTCGTGCGCCTCTTCCCGCTCGCCTTCATCTGCTGGGACGGCCCGGCGGCAGCGTGAACAAAGTGGTGTCACACATGCGGTAGCTGGCTGGACCCAGTTCCCTCGAGCAGAGGGAGCCGGCAGCGCGCACCCAGATCGCCGCTCATCACAGGGGCGGGTGCACCCATGTCCCCCTCCACATCATCCATGTCCTCCATGCCCATCTCAAACTCCTGCAAGGCAGATCTCAGCGCCGCTGTGCTGATGGCTTGGGCCTGGAGGCTGCACGAATGCACCAGGGTCCCGTGCCGCCGCCTGCCACGGCTGACCGCCCACCGCAAACATGTCATCTTCATCCTCATCCGCCTTCTGGAAGCCCAGCTTTCCGGGCTTGCCCTTGCCGCCGCCGCCAGCCTTGTTGCCCAGGCTTGGAGGCAGCCCCTCCTCCTCAGTTCCTGCACGCGGAAGAGCAGCAGCAGTTGGGCGAGCAAGCGCTACCGAAAGCGCTGCGCGGGCGGGCGCCACTGCCGTTCAAACTTGCTGGCGGCGCTCAGCACGCCCTGTGCGGCGCCACAGCAGGCCAGGGGCCCTTGGCTGGATGCGCAGGGCAGCGAGTCCAGGTGAAGGAGGGCCCGACAGGGATCGGCCTGACTACGCTTCAAAAAATCCATCCCGCGCGCTTGTGCCTCGCAGGCTCTGGCGAGGGGCGGTTAGCCCGGCGTAGTAAATGAGAATACAGAAACAAAAACGATGCAGAATAGCGGCAGCCGCGGGGTGGAAAGCATCGGCAGAGGGATTGCCCAGCCCATGCTGCTACCTGTACCATTCCCTGCTTCCCCCAAGCAACATGCAGCCCCAATCCACCACCACCGCTGGTAGGCCACCCTGTGCTGCCTGGGGAATCCAAGGCTGGGCCCTGATTCTTTCTTTCAAAGAGCCCTGCCTGCAGGCGGCACCGCTGCCGGGCCGCGCACCGGCTTTGGTGGCACCACCACGAGCCCCGCCGCCGGCGGCCCTGAACTGCGCCCAGCTGCCGCCGCCACCGGCTTTGGCGGCACCGTCGGCACCACCGCCACACCTTCTGCCGGGCCGCAAGGGGGTGGGAGCGCCATGGAGCCAGGTGCCAGCCACGGAAGCGCTGGCACCACCTCCCCTGCCCAGGGTCTGGCTCCTGGCGAGGCGGTCGGCGGCGGCGTGCTGGAGCCCACACCCGTGGACAGGAAGCTGGGTGCATGATGAAGGGCACGATCGACGTGGGTTGGTCACAGAGTAGCACAGGAGGTGTAACAAAATGAACTCCGCAAGGTTCGGTGGCGCACACAATGGACAGCAGAGCAGGGGCGACACTTGAGGGGACATCAGTGGTTGTCAGGCCGGCAGCAGCGGCCCCGTCTCGTCCCCGCGCTCGTGGTGGTGCTCATCATGGGTGGGCTCCAGCTCCAGCTCACCGTCGGTGGAGCGGCGCACCCGTGCGCCCTGCACCCTGCCGCCCTCGCTGCCGTGCCCGTCGGCACCGTCGCCGCCGCGCCCCCGCCCCCCGCGCTCCTTGCTGGCGGCGGCGGCCGCGGCGGCTGGCTCGGGCAGCAGCTCGGCGACCTGCAGGTCGCGGCCCCGCGTCTCCACCCTCAGCAAAAAGGCGCAGAGCATGGCGGCGGCGCACAGCGTGCCCAGCAGCGCCTCGGCGGCGTGCGGGCGCCCGTCCTCCACAAGATACACCGTGGCAAAGGGGGCCAGGAAGCCGCCCAGCCTGCTGAAGCCGTTGCACAGCGCCAGGCCGGTGGAGCGCACAGAGGTGGGGTACAGCTCTGGGGTGTAGACATACAGGCAGCTGAAGGTGCCTGCAGCCGCAGCGAGTGGTGTCAGGTTTGGCAGGCCGGCCAACCTGCACGGCAGGCCGGCACGACGGAAGCGGCACGGCGGCGCTTGCCTTCGATGCAGCCTCGCGCCACAAACAGCAGCGCCAGCTGCCCAGCCCGCGGCGGGTCGGCGATGAGTGCGCCCAGCGCCGCCGCACACAGCGCCAGCCCCGCCCTCAGCGTCCACCGCCGCCCCTTGGTGTCGATCAGCAGCGCGGCAGCCAGCAGGCCCGGCGCCTCTGCCAGCGTGGTGACGAGGATGGCCTGCACGCCCGGGGGCAGCTGGTCGGCTTTGGCAGAGGGGGGCCGCGCGTGCCTGTCCTCACGTGTCTGCTGCAACATGCTGGGCCTGGCTAGCACGATGATGGACCCACCCCACCAACCGCATGTGCTGGCGCTCGTGCCACCCGCCCGTGCCACCCTGCGCCCCACCCCCCACTCACCGTGTAGTCTGCGGCATCCAGGTTGGGTGCCCCCTCAGCTGTGCACTCCTGCTTCTTGGCAATAGTCTGCAGGGCGGTGGTCAGCAGGACGAGGCCGTCTGCGGAGGGTGGGGGGCGGCGGGGGCGTCAGCAGCTGGCGTCAGCAGCTGGTGCTGGCGCACCAGAGGTCCATCCTGCTGCCCCTGCACACTCACAATAGGTGAGCGCGTTGACGCTCCATATGCCGTACAGCAGCAAGGTGGTGCGCCGCAGCTGCGGGCTGAACACCGCAGCGAAGGCCGCCATCATGGTGCGCCACACCGCCTTGCGCTGCTGCGACGAAAAGCTGCCGCTGTCATCCCGCCTGTGCCCCGGCCGCTGCTGCTGCGGGTGGTGCTGCTGCTCTGCCCCCTCCTGCGGTCGCCCCCCAGCGGGCGCTAGCCCTGCTCCAGCGGGCGCTGCTGCTGCTAGGAGAGGCGCCTGCACGCCAGGAGAGGCTGCAAGCGCAGGCGGCCGGCTCCTGACCCCGCCGTAGCCACTGGTGATGGGACCTTGCTGCCGCTCAGACTCGCCAGCGGGCCGGCCAGGGCTGCCTGGCGCCAGCCGCAGCAGCAGCGGCCGCTTGCGCCCATTGGCCGCCGCCACACGCTGCAGCACTGCCTCCGCCTCGGCATACCGGTGCTGGGCCACCAGCCAGTGAGGAGACTCTGGCAGCAGGGGATAGAGGGCCAGCAGGAGGCCCAGCGGCAGCGCAGACAGGGCCAGCAGCCACCTCCAGCCCAGCCCGGGCAGCACAGCCCAGGCCAGCAGTGCCTCCAGCACGGTGCCTGCAGCAGTATCAGAGCACGGCTTGGTGGTAACGCCCAAGCCAGCCAGTCCACTCGCCCTGGGCAACAGCATGCACGGCGGCAGCCCTCCAGGCCTGCTCACCAAGCGTCCAGAATGACTGCATGAGGAGAAGCCACCTGCCGCGCCCATGGCTAGTGCACCACTCCGCGAACAAGGTCACCGCGACAGGGGTGCCGCCCAGGGCAAATCCCACAACAGCCCGCAGGACCATCAGCCACTGCGGCAGCGGGGGTGGGCAGGATTGCAAGCCTATGGCCGGCGCCTCGCTTCACGCGTGCCCACCCTCCTCGGAAGGGCAGGCAGCGCCGGCGTTGAAGCACACAGCCAAAGCGCACAGCCAGCATGCATGGCTCACCCCAAAGGAAGGCGCAAACGCTGACGCCAGCCCCGCCGCACCCAGCAGCAGCGCAGACACCAGGAAGCCCCTGCGCCGGCCCAGGTAGTCGCTGGCGATGCCCAGGCTGTACACCCCCAACAGCATGCCGACAAACACCTGGTCGCAGGGAGTGGTGCCTGGGTCAGAGCTCTGTGGCCCAGCCCGTGCCACTTGAACCGGCCCTTGCCTCAAACCGCCAAGAAGCAAACTCACCACAGATGTCAGCAGGCTCTCTGCCGCGGGCTGGACCCCCCAGGCACAGTGCACGGCTGGGCCCAGAAAGGAAAGCAGCATCGTCTCGCATGAGTCGGCCAGCCACGCCAGCCCGCAGTAGCAGAGCAGCAGCACTTGGACCCTGCCAAAGCCTGCAGGCGTGAGGTGACGGCGGCAGGACGGCGGGTGGGCCGGGGCGGCAGGAAGGCTGGCAGCTGGCCTGGCGAGCTCCCTTCGCTGCTGCTCAACTCACCCACGTCATCCAGGGCTGCTGTCACACTGGTGTGAGCGCTCCCCTGCTGCATTTCGACAGGCACCTTGCTCAGCGGGGCTGCTAGGATTCTCGTGACATGCTGTATCTATCAAATGAATTGAGCATCGACAAGAGCAGCCTAAATGGGCCTACAAGCCCAATTCTGGCGTTCAGAGCGCATGGTCGTACCGCCGTGGTGATCTTGGCTCTGCCTCGCAGTAAAACCGGCCCAACTGCCGACGTCCCGCGATCTCGAATCGGTCTAGATTCTGTTTTGATTTCGATTGAAATCATAGTCGCTGCTCCGCTTAGAACCAGGCCAAGGCGGCCCTGGTGGCGCCCCTGGCTGCCTGCTGTGCATCTCAGACAGCGCAGCAACGCGGCACGGGCGCAATGAAAAGGGCAGGCCGCCTGTTGGTCTTGGCGCTGGCCGCGCTGGCGGTGGTGTCCGCCTGTGCAGCCGCCGACTCCACCCCAGTGGGTGGCCCGCCGCTGCTGCCGCCGCCCACCGTGGTCGTGCACCTGTCCGACATCCACTACAGCACCAATGTTCGCAAGTACTGGGACCTGTTTGGCAACCGCGAGGGCGACGCGCTGTTGTGGGCGGAGCAGCTAGTTCCGCGCCTGGGGCTGGCGGGCGCCGCCATCACGGGTGACATCACCGACTCCAAGGCGAGGGCCAGACTGCGTGGCTGCCTGGTGCTTGTCGTGCAGCAGCTGCTGGCGCTTCCGAGCCTGCTCTTCAGCTGGTGGCCCCCCGATGCGCAGCCTGCACGGCCCTCCGCCCCCACCCCCGCCTGCAGACCTCTCGCGGCGAGGGGCTGCAGCAGGAGGCCGAGTGGCTGGCGTACGCCGGCCTGCTGCGCGCCCTGGCCGCCTCGGGGCTGCCCGCGGGGCGCGTGTGGGACCTGCCAGGCAACCACGACACCTTCAATATGCCCTCCCGCGGCGGCCCCAAAGACTACTTCAGCAGATACGCTGCTGAGGGGCGCCGCCGCGCCTCCCCCCAGCAGCGCGTCTACGTGCACCGCCTGCCGCCGCCGCAGCCGCCAGAGCAGCAGCAGCAGCAGCAGGCGCGCGGTGCCGGCAGCGACAGCAGCGGCAGCGACGGGCAGGAGGGGTGCCCGGCGGCCTGGCTGCTGGGGATTGACCCCACACCGGAGCCCGGCCTGCGGTCGCCAACCAACTTTGCAGGCGCGTGGGACACCCCTGCCTGCTCCCCTCCCGCATGCTGCTCTGCGTGGAGTGGTGGAGCTCTGTGTGCCGGTTGGTGCAGAGCCAGCCCACGCCGGGCCATGCACTGAGGGCGGGAGCATGGCGGCGGCTGCTGCCACACCCGCCCACCCATCCCACCACACCCCACCCCGCGCCATGCAGGCCTGGCGGGGCCGGCGCTGATGGCAGAGGCCCAGTCTGCGCTGGCGAGCATCCGGCAGCAGCAGGCGGCAGCGTGCGGCGCCCCGCTCATCCTCGCCTACTGCCACTACCCGCTCAGCACCGTAGACAGCAGCCCGAGGCACGTGCCGGGGCCGCCGGGCATCCTGCTGCACGCCATGCGCAGCGTGCGCCCCATGCAGGGGCTGACACAGGTGGGTGGCGCGCGCTGGGTGGGCAGCGGTGTAGCGGTGGTGGTGGTGGTGTGTGTGTGTGTGTGTGTGTGGATGGAGGAGCATGGCTGCCGGATGAGCTGGATGGGCTCGCAGGGTGCAGGGCGGCGCAAGCAAGCTCTCTTGCAAGCATGCGCCGCCACTGCGCCGAACCCCCTGGCCCCCTCCCCCTGCTGCAGCTGCTGGCGCAGCACAATGTGTCGGCGGTGCTGAGCGGCCACCTGCACTCCGCGTTTGGCCAGCGCCTGCACCGCGTGCACGCCACGCCCTCGGGCGGCCGCATGGCCGAGATCGAGACGGCGGCGTGGAAGGATGACCGGCGGTTCAGGTGGGCTGGCGCTGGCGGTCGGCTGGCTGGCGGCCGGCTGGACGGCGGCGGTCTGGTCGGGGTCGGGAATGGACCTGGCACAGGCGCTGTCGTTCCCAGGGCTGCACCTCCTGCCGCCCGTGCCCGCCTCGTGCCCCACAACCCCCCCCCATGCCTGCGCAGGCTGGTGGCTGTGGATGGCGGCGCCCTCACCTTGCTGGACCTCATGTTCCACACCCGCAACTCACCCAGGATGCCCGGCCGCTCAGACGCAGCCGCCACGCAGGACCCAGGCGCGTGTAGGCGCGGGGACTGGGGGGGGAGCAAGAGAGGGCAGAGGGGGCAGAGGAGGCAGCAAGGGAGTGTGGCGCTGCTGCCAGCCTTGGGCCGCCGCTGCAGCAGCCAAACGCCAGCGCGGCACCCACGCCTGCGCTCCGCGCCCTGCCTGCAGCCTGGCAGGAGGCGTATGCGCGGCGCGGCTGGGCGGTGACCGCCCTGGAGCCGTCTGCCGCCGTGGTGGGGCACCTCGCCTTCATCACATCGCCCCCAGACGGCCGCTACAGCCCTCTGGGCGCGCCGTCTGCGTCTGCGGCGGCGGCGGCGGCGCAGCAAGCCAATGGCAGCCAGGGCGGGTGGGTGAAGGCGCTGGTGTATGCGCTGGACGGCTGGGAGGCGGCGGGGGGCGGCCTCAGCGTGGAGCTGACCGGCTGGCTGCCCGGCGGCGCCAAGCTCTTCAGTAAAACCATGCAGCCGCAGCCGGCTGCAAGCGGCGGGCAGGCGCAGGGCCCGCTGCTGTTTGCGGGGCAGGGCGAGGCGACGGTCAGCTGCGTGGGCGCCACGGGCGACCCGGCGCCGCACTGCCACCCGCCTGCCGAGCACGTGACGATCCAGGTGGGGGGGCACGGTTGGGCTCCGCTTGGTGCTTGGGGCACGGGCGGGGAAGCATTGGGGCATGACTTGTGCGTGGCACCAAGTGCCAGCCCGGCCCCACATCATCGTCCGCATGCAGGTCAGCGTGCGCGACGGCGCCGGCCCCGTCAGCCGCTCTCCGCTGCAGCCCGTGTCGCTGCGGTGCAGCCCGCTGACCGCCTCCCACCAGCGCTGCTGGGTGGCGGCGGTGACGGGCGCGCCGCTGCCGCTGCCCACCACCGTTCTGGAGTGGCTGGGCCTGGCCTGGAACTGGCCGGTGCTGGTGCACAGGTGGGCTGGCTAGGTGTGTGGCGCCACGCCTACGCTGATGTTGGTTTGTGGCCTGTGGCCTGCAGGCGGCTTCCCTTTTTTTCTGCCAGCTGCGCCTGCCGGATGCCTGCCAACGGTTCCACCCCGGCTGCCAGCGACCTTGTGCATGTCTTGTGCCCCCGACCGCTCTGCCGCCTGTGCCCCCTGCCCCTCCCCCCCTGACACAGGCTCTTCCTGTGCGTGTGGGCGCTCCAGGCCGGCGGCATGCTGCTGGCGCCGCGCCTGCTGGGCGGCCGCGTGCTGCCGCTGATCGCGGCCAGCCCGCTGCTGCAGTGCCGCCCCGCGCAGCACCAGCTGGCGGCGTCACCCACAGATGCCGCCGCCGCGGGCAGCTGGGCCCCGACACACCTGCTGCGCACCTGCCTCAGCCACCTGCTGTGGCCGGTGGCGGCGCTGTTCCTGTGTGCCAGCGTGACGGGTGCGTGCGCCCGCTGCCGCTGTGCTCCTGGCTGTGCGGGCTGCCCCGGTACATGCTCTGCTGCCCTGCTGGTGGCGCCGAGACCCTTCACCCCCGCCGCCCCCCGCCGCCGCGCCCCGCCTGGTGCAGAGGTGTGGGCTCCCATGCTGGCCCACAGCCTGTACGTGCTGCTGGGCCCCTGGCTGCTGTTCCCCGCGCTGAGCGGCCACCCGCCCGCCGCGATGTTTCATTACGGGGTGGTGGGCAGGCTGGGCGCCGGCCCGCGGGAGGCGGCGCGCTGGCGCTTTGTGGGCACCCCAGACACCATGTTTGTGTCGCTGGTGCACGCCACGCTGTGCCTGCTGCCCGCCACAGCGTGGGTGGCGTGCGTGGTGGCGCGCCGCCTCGCCCTGCACCCCTACTCGCCCCCCGCCAGCCGCAGCACCAGCAGCGAGAGCGGGGGCGGCGGCGCGGCGCGGCGGCGCATGGAGGCCGGCGGCGTCAGCAGCTCGGCCAGCAGCCTGCTGGGGGCGGGGGCCGCGGGCGCCAGCTGCGGCAGGTGGTCGTTCTCGGCGCCCCAGGTGGCGGCCTTGCTGGCCATAGCGGCCCTCAACTGCTCGACGCTGTACCTCAGGGCAGCGAGCCTCATGGGCGGCCTGTCGCTGGCGGCATCCCCCGGCTTTGCCTGGACGCTCCCGCTGGCGCTGCTGCTGGTGGTGGCGTGGGGCGTGCCGCGCCGCCGTGGCGGGATGGCACCCGGCAAGGGCGAGTAGCCAGCAACGGCGGTGACGCGCCCACTCTTTCGCTCTGCTGAATGCATGCTTGTGTACAGCTGCCCTGTTTTGTGTGCCTCGCCCCCTCCTGCCTGTGCTGTGCTGATTTTGGGTTGCCCTCTGCCTGCCGGCAAGCTTTGCGGTGTAATTGTTACCCCCGGGCTTGAAACGTGGGCTGCACAACAGGTCCGCCACAGGTCACCACGCCGTCAAAAGGCCCGGCCTCCTCGGCGCGCGCCGGCGCTCAGTAGGGGCTCTCAGGGAATGCATACTTGAGGCCAAGGTAGAAGAGCACCACGCCCAGCCCACTCAGCACCAGCAGCAGCACCGCCACACGCTTGATGATGCCGCCGATGGATGCGTCGATGCTCTCCGCGTCTGCACAGGCACACCACAGCGTGTGTGGATGCGGGTTGGAGGGACTATGGCAGAGGCTTACGAGACGCAGCAGAGATCAAATAGGAGGAAACACCTTGGTCCTATTTGATCTCGCGCTGGTGGTGCACCAACCACCAGCGCCACGCACGAAATCCTCTCTCGCACACCTGTGCTGAGAACGTCCGACATGTCTTTCCCTAGTAGGCCCTTGCCGCTGGCCTTGCTGCTGCTGCCGCCGCCGCCGCCGCCGCTGCTGCTGCTGCGGCTGCCGCTGCCAAACGAGGGCGGTGCCGCTGGGCCGCTGGCCTTTGAACGCAGCACTTGCTCGTTGAACTTGCGCATCTGGATCATCACCTGCATGCGCAGCGCCCTCCCGCATTCAACCGGCAGGGACAAGGGGATCCTTGGCGTGCGCGGCTGGTGCAGGCACAGCAGCCGGCTGGTGTGCGCCTGGCTCCCACCTGTGCCGACGCCTTCAGCTTGACAAACCGCTCGTCTTGCTGGGCCACCGCCGCCGCATAGTCGAGGCCGCCATAGATGGCTGCAGCGCAGGCGCAGGGGCGCACCGTGGGCATCACATGCCTCGGAGCGCCCAGGGAGGAGCGCAAACAGCGGGCCCACCATCGTCCGTCCATCTGCCGACGCGGCCCTCCACTCACCGTCCTTCAGCGGTATCTGGGCCAGCTCCACGTCTCCAAACGAGGCGTGCACGCAGGCGGAGTTGAACAGCGCTGCCAGCCGCTGCTCCTGAGTGGGGCTCTGGAGCAAGGGTGGCGGGGCGGGGAGGGGAGGCATGGAGGGGGTGATGCCGCCAGGGGACGGGGCTGCGCATTCAGAGGCGGCCTGGTACAGTCAGCCAGCCCGGCCCGCCGTGCCGCGGCGGCGCCCACCTGCTCCAGCGCCTGCTCCCACAGCCTGAGGGCGCCCATGCGGTCGCCACCCTCGTACTTGGCCTTGCCACTGGCCAGCAGCTGCTCAGCCTGCACCGACACATGGCGGCAGCCGGGCATTAGTCTTTGACAGGTGTCATACTATTGCACGGCCCGCTAGCTGGGCCCCAAGGCTGGAGCGGGTGTGCGCGTCGGTCCCACGCTGGTGCCACGCTCGGCATCCTGCCCCTCACCTCGGCAGAGGCACGGCAGGGCGCGAGCTGGCGGCGGCGTACTGCACGGCGGGCGGGCGGTGGGCGAGCGGGCGGGGGGTGGCAGGTCAGGTCAGCCATTGGGCGGGAGATGATTGCACCCCAGGGATGTCCAAAGCGCACCCACCTGTACACAGCGGCCACCGCTGGCTGCCTGCACGCACCACCTGCACTCTGGCGACACCCATCCCACCCTTCCCACGAGCTGGAGCTGCAGGCCCGGATGCCTGTAGCGCCATCATGCTGGTTGCTGGTGCTGGGGCGGCCGGGGGCGGTCAGGAATGTTGCTTGGCACTGGGGATCTGAAGGCGTGCTATATTCCGGTGATGATCAGCTGAGGGCCGATTGGAGATACGGCACAGCACATGCATCAGTGAATGTTGCCTCGCTGTTGCCTCGCTGTTGGCTCCGGCACTACGAACACATCGGTAAGGCAATTGCACAATTGCACAGTATGTTTTCCTGCCACCACCTTCTCTCTTAGGGCAGGTAGTGGACATCACTTCCAATGTGAAACCATCCACACGCCACCGCATGTGGGACAAGACTCTCCTTTGCCTGATCCATCCCTTGCAGTAGCGCTTTCTTCTGATCCATCCATGCAGCTTGTTTCGGTTGATTGTTTGGGGCCGTGGGGGGAAACCGGTCCGTACTGCAGTACAGCTTGGCGGATTTTCGGCGCAATACGGGGCCAAACACGCCGCACTACAGCCCTGCTGCCATTGTGATCAGCAGAGCCGGCGGGTGGCACCTGGGTCTGTTCTGGCCGTCCTGGGCGGTCGCCTGGTGTCAGCCCCGAGGCCAGAGGCGCCGGCCGCCCTTGCCAATATGGCTTCAACACGGGGGGTGCATGCAGTGCTAATTGTGGCCATGGCAGCGGCGCTGGTGGGGGTGAGCGGCAGGACGCTGCCGGCGGCAACGCAGGTGGCCGCCGGTCGCACGCTGCAGCAGGCAGATGACGAGGCAGAGAGCTCGCCCTCGCCTGCCCCCTGCCCCCCTGATGCCTGGGAGTGCGGCGCAACCAGCATCTTTGACCGAGAGCAGTGCGGGCGCCTGGGGCAGCGGTGCTGCGAGCTCCAGGTGGAAGGTGCGCCACCCGCCGCCGCACACCTTGTCCACTCTCTCCCCCCAACACTCCTTCTTCTTCTTTTTCAACCCGCGTGGCCCATACCCAACCACTACAGCCCACCTTCCACCACAGTCACACACGCATTCGCATACCACCCACGCACACACATATGCACACACTACCATCGCCCTCCCGCCTCCCCAAGCACCCAACCGCTCCTGGCGTCCCCTGCTGGCTGCAGAGTACAAGTTTGTTGAGATATGCGAGGGCGGCGACCTGTACTGCCTCAACTTCCCCAGCGAGGACTTTGACACCTCCGACGGCGGCAGCTTCGACGGCAACAGCAGCAGCAGCGGCGGCGGCAGCGGCGGCGGCGACGGCGGGCAGCCGCTGTCGCTGTGCCTGCCGCTGCCCGACGGGTGCGGCGAGGCCGGCGGCGTGTGCTGCCCGCTGACGGGCAACAAGACCAACGGCTCGCTGCGCTGCCAGGCCGACAACAGCATATGCATGGCGCCGCAGAGCGACACCATCTATGGCCTGCTGACGTACGAGCTATACACGCAGCTGGGGCAGGACCCGCAGGCCTCCCTCTCAGGCGAGGTGGCCCTCAGCCTGTGGGGCACCTGCCAGACCTTCGACCCGCAGCAGTGCGGCACGCCGGGCAGCCTGTGCGGCGCCAGCCTGGCGCCACCCGGGCCACAGTGCCCGGAGGACGCGCGCGACTGCCCAGACGGGTGAGCGGCGCCTCTGCCCCGCGCTGCGCACGCTGCGCTGCCGGCCCGCCTCGCTTCCCTGCCGCCCCTCCATGCCTCTGCCAAGCATTTCCAGTCTACCTTGCGCACGCCCTGCCTGGCCGACCCTGCACCGCGTACCGCTGTGTACCGCAGGTACTACTGCCAGGTGCAGGAGGGGCAGTACGAGGAGTTTGGGCTGTGCGCCGCCATCCCCGAGGGCTGCGGCGAGCTGGGCGCCGCGTGTTGCGGGGCCGGCAACTACAGCCAGGGCAGCTACCGCACGCCCTTCTGCTGGGGGGCCGATGTGTTTTGTGCGGCACGGGCCGACAACGTGCGACAGGCCAAGTGCATGCAGCTGCCGCGGTCCCCGCAGGACTGCGGCGCGGCAGGCGGCCCCTGCTGCCCCGCCGCAGCCGGCCTGATCACAGACAAGGAGCTGCCGCCGCTGTGCCAGGCACGCAGGCGCCGGTGCTGCTGGCGCGTGCGCATGCAGAGGCAGCAGCGCCATATGTTGCCGAGGTGTCGGGCTGGGGCAGGGATCCCGGGGCAGCGGTTTGGAGGTGCTTGGCAGCGGCTCACTGCCTGCGCCGCCCCTTGCTGCCCACCCGGCCGCCCGCTGCAGGAGGGCTCCTACTGCGATGTGGGCGGTGACGTCGTCGTGGCCCCAGGGGAGAGCGCGGGCAGCTGCGTTGAGAACCCAGCCAACTGTGGCGGCATCGCCAAGCCCTGCTGCGTGGTCAACGGCCGCAGCGGCCTGCTGTACACCTGCGACGACGGCTTCTTCTGCCCGGATGCCGAGGAGGGGGCCGTGTCGGGCGGCGACGGGGCCACCACCGGCGGCGTGCTGATGGCGGCGGCAGGCGCGGGGGACCGCGTATGCCAGGAGTGCACCCCGCTGGTGCCAGCCAAGTACCAGGTGACTTGGGGGGTCAAGAAGGGCTTCGCGCTTGCTCGCACGCCGCGGTTGGGCTGCCTGGTGCTGGCTGCTGGTGGCGTGCTGGTGGCTGAGCGTGCTGCCTCTGCCTGGCGCCTGCCCCGCCGCCCCTGCCTGCCTGCAGACTGTCTGCGGGTATGGCCTGGACTCGGGCAACAACAACGAGGACGAGGATTACTACTGCAACGCAGATGTGAGCGGCCGTGGTGCCTGTCGGCGGGCGCGGCACACCGCCACAGGCTCGCGGCTGCCATGCATGTGGGCTGGCCCGCTGCGATGCATCGCCCAGCCCGCGCCCAGGCTCAAAACCATGCCGCTCTGCTGCCGTGCCACACATGGGCGCAGGATTACTACTGCCCCGGGGACTATGCCCCCGCGCCTGCCCCAGGGCCCTACTCTGACAGCGTGCAGCCTGGGGGCGCGGCCGCGCAGGCCCCGGCCCTGCCGCCGGCGGTGGAGGAGCTGCCGCCGCTGGGCCCGCCCACGCCAGCGCGCGCCCCGGCATCAGGGCCGGCTCAGCAGCCGGCCCCCGGGCCCAGCCCCGACCTGGGCATTGCTGAGCTGGAGGCTCCGCCACAGCCGCCCACAGCAGCCCCACCAGCGCTGGCGCCTGCCCCCGCGCCCACCCCCTCCCAGCCACCCGCCGCCGCGCCATCCCCAGCGCCTGTCGACGCCTTGGTCCCCGCCCCGGGCCCCGCGCCTGACAACATCCTGCCACCCCTGCCTGGGCCTGCCGCTGCGCCCAGCGGGCCCGAGCTCCAGCCTGCCCCAGCCCCGCAGCCCGCCTCGGCGCAGCCCCCGGCTGCCGAGCCCGCTATGCCGGCACCCTCCACGGCGCCTGCGCAGCCACCCTCGCCCCTGCCGACGCCCTCACCCTCTCCCTCGCTGGGAATCGCAGAGGAGCCCGCCTCGCCGGCGCCCGCCCCGGCGCCCTCCCAAACGCCGGCGCCCTCCCTGGCGCCTGCACAGCAGCCCGCCCCTCCTGGGTCCCCCCCCTCACCCGCTGACGAGGACTGGTCGTCCCTGGACTGGATCTTCGAGGAGCTGCAGCAAGCGGTGGAGGGCAAGGGTGGCCAGGAGCCCGCTGGCGCGCCGCGGCCGACGCCCGCGCCCGCGCCCGCGCCAACGCCCAGCCCCGGCAGCGAACAGGGTTCGGAGGGCGACGGCGCGCAGGACGGCGGACAAGAGGATGGGAGCGGCGACGGCGACGGCGACGGCGAGAGCAATGACAGCGACGAAAGTGACGGCGGCGAGGGCGACAACGGTGACGAAGAGGGCAGCAGCAGCAGTGCTGGAAAAGGCGAAGAAGAGGACAGCAGCGGCCAAGAGGAGGGCAGCAGCGGTGATGAAGACGACAGCAGCGGCCAAGAGGAGGGCAGCAGCGGTGATGAAGAGGACAGCAGCGGCAAGGAAGGGGACAGCAGCAGCAGCAGCGGTAGCGACCAGGAAGACGACAGCAGCGGTGAGGGAGACACAACTGAGACTGCCGACTCGAGCGATGAAGAGAGCACAGAGAATGATCAGTGAACGTGTGCGCTGACCAACCAACCGTTTTTTCCACACGCCTGCCCGTTTCATCTCCACCATTCATCCCTCCTATACCTATTGTCTTGCCCAAACGCACTCCACTCAACCCTGTTGTAAAGCATCGTCGTCTTGTGGACTTGCAGCCGGAGAAGCTCGCGAGTTCATGGCAGTGGCGGCGCGCCGCGGCGGACACCGTGGCGCCGCATGGCGGGGTGCCTGGAAAACCTTGATTTTTCTGCTCCTCCGACATTCACGTCAAAGCCTCAACCTCGTGCACCTGATCTTCCTTGCTTCTCGACCCGCGTCTGAACATGAGAGGGCGTCGGTGCTCGCAGCGCCGCCTGTTTGCCGGGAAGGAAATGCAGGATACGACAGAAGACCCTCCGCTGCACATTAACGACCTCCCAGAGTGCCTGCTGCTAGAGGTGGGGGCTGGCAAAGGTGGTTGCGGCCCCGCAACAATCGCTGGCCGCGTTGCGGCGGGGGCGCCAGCAGCTTGATCCTTGCTGCCTGACAATGCGTTTCGCCTGCGTGGCGAGTTGCCGGGCACCCCGCCAGCGGGGCCGGCGCCCTGCGCCGGTCTGCCGCCGCACCCTGGTCCGCTGCCTGCCACAGCTGAGCCCGCCGCCTCGCACAGAGCTGGTGCAGATGCAGCCCGAGCCAGCTGCCTTGCTCTTCCTCTGTGCTGCGCCTGCAGGTCTTCCGCCAGCTGAGCAAGCTGCCGCCGGTGACGGCGCCCGAGGAGGAGGCGCTGTACACGCGCAAGCTGCCCTTCAAAACCTTCGACTCGCCGGGGGAGGTGGGTGCAGAGCGTGGAGAGCAGGAGGGAGGAGTGCATGAAGGTGCTCGGAGATCTCAGCCGCAGGCGTGCGTGAGATGTGCCCGGCCTTGAGGTGCGGTGCCACCCCCGTCCTGCAGGTGCACCCCGGGCTGAGGTCGTACCCCTTCCTTGCGCAGGTGCGCTGCAGACCCTCTGGATGTATGCGCGGCCGCTGGCTGTGTGCCGCATGCGTGCGCCCCAGCCCCGTGCCCCCACGCTGCCGCCCCCGCAGGTGTGCCGGCACTGGCGCCAGGCGCTGGAGGGTCCGGCAGCGCTGCAGCTGTGGGAGGAGCTGGTGGTGGACGTTGGGCACGAGCTGGTCACGGCGGTGCACGTGCCCGTGGCCTGGAGCGACGTGCGGCCCAGCGACGAGGAGTTCCGCGCCGCCTTTGCGGCCGTGCGCCTGCGCTCGCACCGGCTGGTGGACTTTGTGCGGGCGCGGCGGCGCGTGCTGCGCCGCCTGGTGCTGGTCAACAGCGAGGGGTACTGGGCCGAGGACGGCGAGTTTGTGCCCGTCAACTCCAAGCACAGCGTCAACCTGGGCACGCTGGGAATTCTGCTGGGCGTGCTGGCCGACGGGTTGAAAGGTGCGGAGGAAAAAAAAACAAGAACTTTTGTTTTGTTTTTGTTTTCTTCTTCTCTTCTCTTTGGCAGATAGGAGGCTGTGCAGCAAAGGCTGTACGGCTGCTGCGGATGCTGGGCGCACCGGGCACGCCGCCGATGCGCATGCCGCGCTTGAGTCACCCCCCGCCCCGCGTTGCCGGCCCCTGCCGACCCCCGCTTCCAGAGCTGCACATCGGCCACTGCAACGACCTGTTTGCGAGCGGCTCGCCCCTGAGCACCATTGCCATGCTGCGGTGAGGCGCCGCGGGCGGCAGCTGGGCGGGTGCCGTCACGCAGCGGCGCCGCGGCCGCCGACCGGCAGGCTGGCCACACCTCGGTGCCTTTGTGCCGCAGCGTACGCCGCCGGCCCGACCCGCCGGCCTGCTGCCATGCCTCTGTTCTGCTCCTGCTGCAGGGGCCTGCGCTCGCTGGTGCTGGATGACCTCCAAGTGCGCGTGTACAGGTGGGTGGTGTGCACGCGTGTGTGCATGTGTGTGGTGTGGAGTCTGTGATGTGTTTGTTGTGTGGGCATGGTGTGTGGTGGCATGGTGGTGTGGTGTGCTCGCTCGTGGCAACACCCTCTCGCCTGCCTGCCCCTGCCACCCGCTCACCCGCCCTCCCGTCGCGCCTGCCGACAGGGAGCAGCTTGCGGAGCTGGGGCGCATGACGGCGCTGGAGGAGCTGGCGGTGTGCGCCACGCAGCGCCAGGGCATGCCCTTCATCTTTGGGCTGGACGCCATCCCCGACACCTGGCGCCACCTGGGCGCCCTGACCTCCCTGGAGCTGCGCGGCAACGCCCTGCTGGAGTCCCTGCCCGAGTGGCTGGCGGGCGCGCTGCCCCGCCTGCGCCTGCTGGATGTCAGCGCCTGCAGCCGCCTCGACCTGCGCGCCCTGGGCGCCCTCACCCAGCTACACACGCTGGCGCTGCAGGCGCTGGACCTGGTGGCCGGCGCCGCGCCGCCGCGTCTGCTGGCCCAGGCGGCGGCGCAGGGGCTGGTGCCGCGTACCAGCCAGCTGCCCGACCTGTCCCCGCTGGGCCGCCTCAGGGCGCTCAACCTGGCGGACAACAACCTGGGGGCGCTGCCGCCCTGCCTGCTCAAGCTGACGGCGCTGGAAGTGCTGGACCTGTCAGGCAACTTCTTCCTGGAGGCGCCCCACCCGCTGACGCAGCTGCTGGCGTTCAAGCACCTCAGGTGCGCGCCCCTGCGGCTGGCGCCCCGCAAGCCAGCGAGGCGGCCCCGCCCTGGGCACCCCGCCTCGGCCCAGCCCACGCTGCACCTGCCCACCCCAGCGCGCTGTGTCCTGCCCCTGCGCAGGCACCTCGACCTGCGGTCGGTCCACGTGGAGGAGGGCCAGAAGTTCTGGAGCCCCGCCAAGTGCGCCACGATGCAGCACCTGGCGGCGCTGGCCAAGTCGCTGCGCCGCAGGAACCGCCACGCCAAGGTGCTGCTGGACACCAGCTGAGGCGCCCCGGCCATGTACTTGCTGTATAGCGGCGTGCACACACCCGGCCGCCCATTGGCGCGCATCCTGTCAGCCGTCTCTCCCGCTCCTGTTCTGCTCTTCAAACCCCTGCCTTGAACCCTCGCTGGCAGCCCAGCCCAGGCATTGCTGGGCGGGCTGCCAGCCCAGCCCATTCCGTTTCCGTCCTGCTTGCTCTGCTGTTCCTGCATCCATCCTCTGATGTGAGGTGCCCCCCCCCCCCCCCCCCATGTTCCTTTCCTCGCAACCGCGCAATGCTTTTCCAGCCAGTTTTCCATGCCCATGCCCAATGCCTCATACGCTACGCCGCTGTCACTCATGTGCGGCGCCGTACCATGTACTGCCTTGTACACCTGTAATGCCTGCCGCTGCCGCCCTGGCCGCCAGCCTGGCACCTGCCTCATGCCAGCAGGTAGACCGTGCCGCCATGGTTGGGCAGAACCTTGAGCTGCGCCCGCCCCAGCTTGACCAGGCTGCAAAGCAGCAGGGCAGCGGGAGGCAGCGGGGGCAGCGTCAGCGGCCGCTGCGGCTGCTAGGGGGGCGCCTGAACTGCTTCCGCTGCTGGCCAGCCTGTTGCCCCGCATCTGGCTGCCGGCAGGCGCACCTGTTGACGACCACCTTGCACTTGGCGCCCAGCCCTGCCGCCTGCACATCTTCCATTGTGAACCCTGCAGGGTGTGTGTGTGTGTGTGTGTGTGTACATGTGTGGTGGTGTGCCTTCAGGCGCCGCACCCCGGAGGGGCAGCACACTCGAGCACCAGGTTGGCATGCCGCATCAGTGGCAACAGCGGGAGGCACGGCACCAGCAGAGCGCACAGCGGCAGGCGGCGCCACCCACCGCCGCCGCGCTCCCGCGCCGCCGCATGCACCGCCGCCAGCGTGCTGTTCAGCGCCTCCAGCGGCAGCTGGCTCTTGATGAAGGTGGGCAGCGCGCCGTACTCATCCCCAGCCACCAGGCGCAGGGCAGGGACGGTGACGGGCGCGGGCGCCGCGGCCGGCGGCGGGGCGGCGGGAGCGGCAGACGGCGGTGCCGGCGGGCGGGCCACCGACAGGGGTGCCAGCGGCTGCGCTCGCGCGGCTGTTGGCGGCTGCGCTGCTGCTGCCGGCGCCGCCAGCGCTGCAGGGGTGGGCGCTGCCGGCGGCGGCGGTGCGGTGCTGCCGCTGGGCGCCGCCGGCCCTGCGGGGGTGGGCGCGCCGGTGGTGCCTCGCCGCAGTGCCGCTGCGATCGCCTCCTCCAGCCCGGGCTTGGAGCGCTCAGAGCGCGGCGCCGACTGCGCCGCCGCCGCCGCCGCCTGCACCTGCGCCGCATCCTCCCTCAGGCTGCTGATGGGGTGCTTGAAGGCGGCTGGCGCGGCGGCGCCGCGTGCCACGCCGCCGCCGCCTCCGCCCGCCGCCCGGCTCAGCGGCGCGGCCGTGCTGGGGGGCGAAGTCCCCCGCTGCTCCCCCGCCGCCGCCCGCTGGTGGAAGCGGGTGCTGCCTGCGGCGGCGGCCGCACCGCTGATGTCCTCGGTCTGCTCCTGGGCGGCCGCCGCCTGCGCGCCTCTCCCCAGGATCTGCCCCATCAGGTCCAGCGTGCTTTCCTCCTCGGCCTGCCGCCACGAGGCCTCCCCCTGCCACTCCCGCACCCTGTCCTCCTGCTGCGGCTGGGGCGGCTGCGGCTGCTGCTGCTGCGGCGCGCCCCCCGCCTGCTGCGCCGCCATGGCCAGCGCCGCCACGGGGCCGCCCGCCGCCTCCTCCTGCGCCACCGCCGCCGCCGCCGCGGGGCGCCGCTGCTTCTCCACCGTCGCCAGCAGGCGTTCGGTGGATGCCATGATGGCGGGGAAGCGGTGGCGGTACGCCTCCAGGAAGGACGGCTTGCCCGCCAGCTTGGCGGCGGTGGCGGTCAGCGCGCTGTACACTGCAGGGGAGGGGGGGGGTGGGTGTGGGTGTGGGTGGGTGGGCTGCTTGTGCCAGCAGGGTACGGCTGCGGCGCGTCGCGACGGCTGCAGGCAGGCAATGGGCGGCATGCGGCAGGCATCCGTGGCCGGCGCAGGAGGCAGGCCGGCAGCGGGGCACAAACGCACTCGCGTCGTCGGCCTGCCACGCTGCGCCGGCGCCGTCGGCGGCGGGCGTGCCTCCCTGCGCCGCCGCCCCCGCATGCGCCATCTGGACCTCCTGCTCCATGGCCGCCAGCTGGAAGGCGGGGGAGAGGTAGGAAGGGACGGGGGGCGTGGCGCGGGCGGCGCTGCCGGGCCGCGGCGGCGTGGCGGCGGCCGAGGGCGGCGCCGCCGACAGGCGCTGCTGCTGGGTGCCGCCGCTGCTGCTGGAAGCGGCATACTTGCCCAGCAGCTCCCTGCGGGCGGGGCGGGGCGGGGCAGGCCAGCGGGGAAGGCGGGGGGGGCGCGGCGTCAGGGCCCGAGCAGGCAGCACAGGGATGCTTCTCTCTGCGGGCGGCGGCAGCAGCCGCTGGCGTTTTCTGGCAGCCCCGTGTGCCTGGCCACACAGGATGGAGCACAGCACAGCACACGCACAGCGCACCTCCCCCCACACACACCACCCCCGCCGCGCCCACCCACCGCATGGACGGGCTCATTGCCTCTGGGGAGGCGATGGAGGAGGGTGTGTCGTCTGCCCGCAGCAGCAGCGCCTTGGCCGCCGTCAGCGGGGCCATGGCCTTGAGGGTGGTGCGAGGAGCGGCGCCGCCGCCCGCCGCCGTGCCGGCCAGGCCCCACAGCTGCTGCTGCTGCTGCTGCTGCTGCTGCGCCGGCGGCGGCGACATGTCGCAGGCTGGCCCCAGGTGTGCACCCGCCAGCCGGTTGGTCACCTCGGCCAGCGCCTCGGGGGCCGCCCCCTCCCCAGCCTCCTCCCCATCTGGGTGCTCGCCGTATGCGGCGGCGGCATGGCCGTCAGCATCCTCCCCAGCCCCGGCATAGCCCGCCCCACCTGCAGCTGCAGCGCAACCCTCCCAGAAGGCAGGCATCGGTGAGCGAGCACGCAGCCCTGCAGACGCGCAGCGCCCAGGCAAGCATCGCCCAGTGCGCCCAACCGCGCTGAGCTGGCAGCAGCAGGGACGGTGGCCCTCTGCAGCGCACCTGATGGCGGCGCCGCCGCCAGCTCCAGCATGTCGAGCGGGTTCTCCGGGGGCAGCGGCGCGTACAGGTCCCGGTAGCCGTACTGCGCCAGCCTGGCCTCCAGCTGCTGGATGTGCTGGTGGTTCTGGCGGTACAGCGCCACGCTGTGCCCCACCAGCTCCTGTGCGGCACCAAGGGGCTGGGCTTGAATGCGGCTGGCTGGTGCACTCATGCCATGCGGCCAGCCCGCCACTGACACCATGCGGGCAGCTGCCAAGGGGCTGAGGGAGGCAGCAGGTGGCGGCAGGTGGCGGCAGCTGGCGACGGGCAGGCGCGGCGCGCACCTCCAGCGAGATGGCGTCTAGGGACACGCCCTCCAGGGCCTGCAGCTCCTGTCCCACGCCCTCCAGGCGGCTGGTAAGGTCTTCCAGGATGCGAGCATAAAAGGTGGCGCCCGTGGTGGGCTGGTTGTCCACGTTGCGCCGCAGCTCGGCCGTCTCCTGCGCCAGCTGGGTAGTGAACAGTGCCAGCCCCTCCTCAAGAGACTTTAGCGACTTGCGAACCGCCGAGGCGGTGGAGCCCGAAGTCATATCGTGGCCCCGCCGATCGCAGACAGCCCCCGACGGATCAAACAAGGGCCTCTGGGAGACGCCGGTGTGGTTGCCGGCAGGCATGGCCCTTAAAACGAGCCGGTTTTCAATCGAACGCTGCGGCAGGACAGGAAAAGCAGTACAGAGCCCCTGGGCGCCGATTCCCCCCTTGGACTCAACAAGAGCCCTGAACAATTCGCGTTCGTCAATACATCCCCGCAATGCGGGGCAGCTGAGGACGTCCGCCACATTTTTGACCACCGAAACCACGCCGCCATGTCTGTCCCCAGCCAGGAGGGCCTCTTCTCGCTGTGCACGGTGCCTGGCTACACGCCGCTGGCCGCGCCGCCAGCCACGCTGCCACACGCAGCAGTGCGACCCGCCGCCAAGCCGTCGCCACGCACTCCCGGCAGGGCAGCCGGCAAGGCCGGCAAGGACACGGCGGAGGATGTCTCCTGGATACGCACCGCCGAGGACGTGATGGCCTACTTTGAGCGGTGGGGCGAGAGCGCGCCCACCCAGTTCTTCTACTGCCTGCGGAGCGAGGGCGGGGCCGAGGGCGGCGCCGCCCCCGAGCGCTCCGCCGCCGAGTTCTTCCTCAAGGTGGTGCCCCCGGGCCGCACCACGCACCTGCCCAGCTACTACATCATGAGCAAGCGCCAGCTGGTGAAGGTGGACCGCTGCACCGGCGAGCACACCGACTCCGTCCCGCTGGCAGAGTGGGCGGCGCACAAGCGCGCCTACCTCCACCTGCGCGGCCTCACCTTCTTCGGCTCCTTCTCGCTGGCCAAGTGCTTCCAGCGCTGGCGTGGCAACTACCGCACACGCCTGCTGCGCAGGCGGCGGCGGCAGCTGCAGGCCGCGCTGTTCCCGGCCCGCCCCGCGTTCCAGGCCGCGCTGCTGGAGGCGGCAGTGCTGCTGGAGGGGCTGCGCGCGGTGCGGGCCGCCTGCGTGCAGCCCCGCAGGCTCTACTCGGCTGCCGACTGGGCGGAGCAGCAGGTCAACTGGCGCAGCCGCAAGGCGCAGCCCGAGGTGGAGGCGGCGGTGGCGGGGCTGGCGCGGGCGGCGGAGGGCGTGTGCGCGCGGGTGGAGGCGGAGGCGGAGCGCATGCTGGCCGGCGTCAAGGCGCAAGAGCTGGGGGACCGCATCGGGGTGGGCGCCGCGGGCTGTCCGCCGCCGCCTGCCGGCTGCTGGCTGGATGGCAGGGAGCCGCAGCAGCTGCCCCTGGGGCCGACTCCCTGTGCACAACCACAACCACGACGACGCTGCTGCGCTGCCGGCAGCCCTTGTGCCATTCAACCATGCACCCCTTGCCTGCCGCCCTCACCGTTTGCAGGTGGACCTGTACGCCGCCACCAGCGCCGCCAAGGCCCGCTCCATGCAGCAGATCCGGGGGGAGAAGCAGGCCAGGGCGGAGGCGTACCACAACGCGCTGGCACACCGCGCCCAGCTGCCCCGCTTCCTGCGGATGCTGGACCTGCGCCTGGCCGGCGCGCTGGCGGGAATGGCGGCGGGCAGCGTGGCGGATGCCGCGGCCGCGCTGCACGCCGCGGCCCCGGGGCTGCTGCCGGGGGCGGCGGCAGGGGTGGGACAGGGCTGCGGCCAGGATACCAGCGCAGACGGCGAGCTGGCAGACTCTCCGGTACCAGCAGAGGCAGCAGCAGGCAGCGGGGAGGGCCCCGCCACGCCTGCCTTCTTGTGCAGCCTCGTTGTGGAGGCGGGAGGCGGCATCGGCTTCAGTCCAAGCCAGGCAGAGTGGGCGGCGGCGCTGGAAGGAGAGGTGCTGGCCTCCAGCCTGCGCCTGGCTGGCGGCGTGCTGCCGCTGCTCCGCCTGCCCGCGTTTGAGCGCTACCAGGTCCAGCAGGCCGCCGAGGGGGCCGCCGCCGGGGAGCCTGAGCAGGCGGAGCAGCAGCCTGCCGGTGCGGCGGAGCTTGCTGAGCGGGACGGCGAGTTTGTGGGGGCGGCAGCTGACCTGGCTGCCATGGTGCAGCACAGCTTCGCCAGGGCGGGGCAGCTGGCACGGCAGTACCAGCAGTACCTTGCCATCCACCAGTTTGGCTGCAACTGGGACTACGAGGCCTGGGCTACCCAGCAGAGGTGGGCCGCCAGACGCGCACGCCTTGCCTGTCCGCACCAGGCAGGAGCGCCGCCGCCACTGCCGCCACCCGGTGCCGCCACCCGGTGCGTCACCTCCTGCCCCGACTCCCGCCTCTCGCCTGCCCCTGCAGGGCTGGCATGGACCTTGCGGGCGCGGAGGCCACCCTGCGCCAGCTGCAGGCCTGGCGGCAGCAGCTGGAGGTGATGCCGCTGAGCCAGGCGGCGGGGCTGGTGCGCCTGGATGCCACGCACCTGCAGGCCAGCCTGCAGCCGGCGGTGCGGGAGGCGCAGGAGGGCATCACCGCGCTGCTGCTGCAGCTGGCAGGCGAGCAGTGCCGCCAGCTGCTGACGGAGCTGGGCAGGTGGGGGGAGGTGGCGGCGGCGCGGCCCCCGGACCTGGACGCAGGCTTCCTGCCCTGGGCCGCAGAGCTGGCCCTCATGCAGCAGGAGGCGGCCGGCCAGGTGGCCGCCGCAGCCGCCATCGATGCCGCGCTGGAGCTGGTGGCGGCGTTTGCGGGCAGGCTCCCCACCGCCGATGCGGTGAAGCGGGACGACCTGCGGGAGGCGGCGGCGGGCCTGCCGGCGGCGCTGCAGGCGGCGGCGGCGTGGCAGGTGGAGCAGCGCGAGGTGCATGCCGCCGCTGTGGCTGACCAGGCCGGGGTGCTGGCTGAGGAGGCGATCCAGCTGGAGGCGGAGCTCAAGGCAAGGGGGTGGGGGCACTGCGTGGGGAGGGCATGCCGTGCCATGTCTGTGCCTTTTGCCTGCCTCCCAGGGGTTGCCTGCCGCACCGGTGGCTCGGTTGGTTGAGGCACACCAAGGGGCAGGCTTGCACATGAGGCCTGCCGGTTGCGCATGCACGCCGTGTGAAGCTCCCCCTGGCCGCTGCCGCCCCCGCAGGCGGGTGGGTATGCCGACGCGGGCGCTGCCGTGGGCGAGGTGCTAGCTGACCTGGAGCTGCAGCAAGCGCGCCTCGGGTCGGCGGCGGCGCAGGCGGAGGCGCTGGCGCAGCTGCAACAGGAGATGGGGGTGGAGACCCGCAGCCAAGAGGAGATCCGCGACGCAGCGGCGGCGCTGCAGGTGGGCGGGCGGTGGCCATTTTGCATCCCCCAACAATCACAAGGTTGTGTGCTGGAGGCGCGCCGACACTGCCATGAGTGTATTGCAACTTCACCCGAATGCAATGCAGCGCTGCACTGGGGTGTGGTCTCTGGTGGCTGAGGCGGAGGCGCTGCAGGCCAGCCTGGCGGGGGATGCCGATGGCTTGCCGATTGAAGGCTCAGAGGGTGGTGGTGCCGGACCGCCCTCGCCAGAGCAGGCCAGCCGCCAGCTGGCAGGCATGCAAGAGCGGCTGCTGGCCCTGCGAGGCGCCGCCGCAGCGCCAGACCCTGTGTGGCTGCGCGCCAGCAACGCTGTGTTGGCTTGCAGAGGGCTGCTTGCTGGATAGGCTCCTTGGTGCGGGCAGTGATAACTGTATTGGCCTATTCAACAGAGACATCAGCAATCAATGTGGCGAAGGGATGTATTATAGCAGAGGGATATGTGGTGGTTGCAAGCAGATCAAAAACTCGAGCGTCGCGGCATTAAGGATACACACAACCCACTTGGTGGTACAGCTAGAATACAGGCCAGGCCAGCTCCGGCGGTACACGCCCTTCTGGCTGGGCGCGGGCGGGCGCGCGTCAAAAGTCTTGAGGGTAGGCCGCTCGCAGCAGCGGCGAGGGCACGTAGCCCCCCTCCTCTGGCGAGAAGGCGGAGAAGAAGTGCGGCACGAGCGGGTGGCGCACCTCGCGCGGCGCCCGCATCGGCATCACATTCTCCTGCGCCACGTAGCAGCTCTGCGCGCCTGGGCGGTCCCTCTCATCCACCAGCACCTCGTAGAATGGCTGGTTGCGGCCCAGCGGCAGCGAGTCCACCCGCATCATCTGCATGCACGCGCATGGGGCCAGCGGGGGCGGCGAGGTGAAGTGAGCCCAGGTATTCCAGCATAGAGTTCAGTTTTGCTTTGGCTTGCAGAATTCAACTTGCTTGTTCCCTTTCTACAGAGAACATGTTGAACCCGCCGCCGCCTCACCTGGCACCACTCGTCTGGGGCGCAGCAGATGGGATCGTAGCCGACGATGACGCCTCGGTAGTTGTACCGCGCATGCACGATGACGCCGCCCAGCTGGTGCCGCACCCCAGCCCCCGCCTTGGCATCCGCTGCCGCCGCCAGCTCCAGCCGCCGCGCCGAGAGCTGAAGGTGGCGCAGCGCATCCCGCTCCGCTGCTGCGGCACCGAAGTCTTGTCGCTCCACAAGCCCCTCCAGCCGCAGCTTGCGCTCCTCAATCTCCTGCCACGCCGCCTGTATTTGCTCTACCCTCTGCCACTCCCTGTCGGCGCTGCTGCTGCTGGCGGAGCTGCCGGCGGGGCGGGGGCTGCCGCTCCCGCCCGCGCACTCCTCCCCGTCGCCAGCGCCGTGCGGCCTGCGCCCCGTGGCCAGCACGAGGCTGGTGCTCTGACGCCGACTCCAGGAGACTGGAGGGGCCAGCAGGCGGGGCTGCCAGAGAGCTGCGGGGGTGCGAGGGGGGAGAGGGACCCTCATGGGCAGGCTCGCTATTCTGTGAGTTCCCTCTATCTCAGACGTGATCAAAGTTTGAAATCACGAGGGTGCCACTCGCTGATGTTTTCGCGCCTGCCAGCAGTGCACATATCCCGGTGTGCAGGATGGGCGACCTGCCGCCTCAATTGCCACTTTCTGTGCTCTTGAGTGCCCGCGCATTGCGGTGGAAGGGCGAGAGGCCAATGCAGGCCTGCTCCTGTCCTCTTGGCCTCCCACTGGTGCCCTGCCACCGCTGCCTGAGCCCATTGAGGCTTCAGCGTGGCGTCTGCGAGCGCAGGAGGCCCAGCGCCGCAGCACCAGCCCAGTACGGCCGCCTCCGCCGCGCCACCGCCGCCACCAAGGGCGACCAACAAGGGCCTTGGACGGTCGCCGAGGAGCAGCCGGAAGCTGCCAGAGGTGGCGGGCAGGGCCCGCTCGCCCGCCTGCTGCAGATACCGCAGCTGCCGCAGCTGCAGGGCTCCCCCGCCCAGCCAGACAACGGCAGCGGCGACGCCGCGGGCCAGCCGGCCGTGCCAGCCATGGAGCCTGTGAGCGAGGTGTTTGAGAACCAGCGGGGCTACGGCGTGGTGGGGTGGAAGGCGCCGGTCAGCATCCTGGATGCGCCGGAGTTCTCGGATGCTGCCGGCGCGGCGGTGGCGCTGCCGGCGCGCCCCAGCGACGACCCGTCCCGCTGGGAGCTGGTGGTGGGCGGCGCCACTGACGACGAGGGCTGGCAGTACGCCACGGTGAGGCTGTACCGCCTCGTCACAGCCGCAGCAGCCCACCCGCACCCACACCCGAGGGCGTGGGCACCACCACCCACTCCACACCCATCACCGCCGGCGCTTAGGACACCCACCAGCAGCGCCATGCACAACAAACACGCCCTTTGCCACACGCCCTGCGCTGCACCTGCAGGTGTTCAAGCATTTGGAGTACAAGAGGCCGGGCGGGCGCTCCTCGGCGCGCTTCGGAGACACGGTGCGGCGCCGCCTGTGGCGCCGTCGCCCCGAAGCCGCCGAGGCGGCCCCCGCCGTGGCCGTGCCGCTGCGTCGCGAGGGCGCGGCAGGTGCGGCGGTAGCGGCAGTGGCAACAGCAGCCACGGCGGTGGTAGTGGCGGCAGTGCAGGGCAGCGAAGAGGGCAGCGCGGGAGAGGCGGCCGGCGCTGTGGCGTCCGCGGTGGCTGTGCGGGCTACCCGGGAGGCGGAGGCGAAGAAGAAGGCGGTGAAGGCGTTTATAAACATGGTTCTGGATGTGCTGAGGTGGGTAGGGGGGGCCCTGCCGCCGGGGCTGGCCTGGCAAGGCGGACAGCGCCTGCTGCCGGCCGCAGGCGTGGCCCCGCAGGCTGCACCCGCCACTGCGGCACCCAGCGCTGCC